ACAAGTTGATTTGTCAATTAGAGTTAGTTGAATTATCAGTGAGTTGATTGATTACTGAGTCAATGGGTTGATGGGTTCCGGGCAGTGAAGCTCTAACCAGCTCTGCCCGTTTTCTTACCGATCTCGATAAACTCGTTATCCTCCAGCACATCGTGAACTACATCGTCCGGGTCTAACGAGCCGAGTCCCTGACAGCGGCGGACCACAAACCGGGGGCTGGAGCCGGCCTTCACGCCCCCGCTGTCCGGCTTGTTCTTCACATAGCGGCGGATCGCCTCTGCGGCCAGCCACGCCACATTGACCGAGGTGTCCTTACAGGGCACGGTCAGCCACTCACCCCGGACATGCACCGTGAACCGGGCCATTCTCCACGCCCCCCGCCCTCGGGACGGATCCGGCACTGACCCCCTGGACCAGGTACTGGACCCAGTCGGAGACCACTCCCCGCCCCCCATTGGGCATGCCCCAGACGGGCCACGCCCCTGCCCCATTGGGCACGCCCCAGACGGGCCACGCCCCCTACCGCCCCGGTCCCGCCCCATTGGCACGCCCCAGACGGGCCACGCCACCACATCCCCAGCCCGCCCCATTGGGCAAGCCCCAGCCTGGCCCCACCCCCATTGGGCAAGCCTCAGCCAAGCCCCGCCCCCACAACCCAGGTCCCGCCCCACCCCTCCACGCTGGCCCCCACCAGACCCGCCCCCGCCCACGCTCCCTCCCCCTCCCGGGCCAGCCCCTCTCTTCCCCCTACCCCCTCACATACACACACACACACACACACACACAGTGCCATCCAGGCTCCAGACCCACCTTTCCCTCGACCCCGTCCCCCCTCCAGAGCCAGCCCCTCTCCCCTCCCTCCTTCAAGCATAAAAGATCCAGCCCATCTCTCGGAGCCAGCCAAGCTTGGCACAATGGTAAATGTGTTGATTCTTCCAAGCCCTCCTTATCAACATCTGGGGTGTAGTCCCAAAATTGGGAGAGTTGTCATAACGGCCTGACATTGTCTGTAAGGTATGACAATGTCCCAGACATCACTATCCTGTGAACATAGTGCTATACAGTTCAACGGGAGCTGTGCTGGAAGTCCTCGAGACACCCTGAACACCCATGGCACTAGGTTAGGCATGGACAATTCTGCTGATTCCTCCCTTGCTGATGAATCTATATATCTCCATGTTGAACAACACTTAAATGAAACACAGAAGGTCTGTTGTCTAGTTCCTCCTTAAACGTGTTAGACAACTCAAACCAGAATCTTAGGAATGAATTTGCCCAGATATCCCACAATACCGTAATCGTCAAATCACTACAAACACAAGCTGGTACCAATGCAAAACAGTCCCAACTTTATTATGAAACAAGTTACAGCAACTTTTACTCCAAAACAATACTATCTCTAATCCTATTCAGCCCCTTAAGTTTACAATACTTCCCAAGTCTCTTGTAGATTTGCGCAGCTGTGCCCTCTGTCGCTGTGGGACTTTGAAGCTGTTTTCTCTCTGCCTTTTGCTGTGCTAGTCTCCTCGGCAGTCCAAGAGATTCGTCTGCAGGTGAACCCTGTTTTTGTACCTTTTTGGATGGTTTTCTGGAATTTCCTATAGTTCTGGCCATTCAGGGAGACACACATAATATAGACAAACAGGAGGCTGGAAGAACACAGCAAGCCAGGCAGCATCTGGAGGAAAGGAGCAATCAATGTTTCAGGTATTACCCTTCTTCAGGACTGGATGTGGGAGTATGTTGTGGTGTCTGGAAGGGAGGGTCAGAAGGTGGAATGGAAGGGAGGAGGTGGGGCTGGAAGAGTTTGCGCCCCACTCTGCACCAACCACTTCAACCCGCCTGGTACCTTCCCCTGTAACCAAAGAAGATGCATCACCTCCATTCAGGGCCTAAATAGCCCTTCCAAGTGAGACAGAGTTTTACCCGTATCTCCTCCAACCTAGTCTACTGCATCCGGTGCTCCCGATGTGGGCTCCTCTACATCGGTGAGTCCAAACGTAGACTAGGTGACCGTTTCGCCAAGCATCTTTGCCTGGCCCATAATGCTTCATCAAAGCCTGAAGCTTCATCGGAGGCTGCACTGATGATGTTGCCCAGCATGGTAACAAAACGTCTGCGGAGCAACAAACCAGCTCGGCGAGCCAACCAACCTCAACACCCACAACCCAAGCTACAAATCTACTCTAAAACCTTAGTAACCTCCCCATGTCAACTCTCCGCCCCACTCCCCCTCCAACATGTATGTCCTTGGCATCCTCCAGTGTTGCAGTGACTCAGAATGCAAACTTGAAGAACAACACCTTATCTTCCACCTGGGCATCCAACAGCCCGGAAGACTCAACATTGAATTCTCTAATTTCAAATAACCTTCCCACCCATCCCCCGGATCCCTTTCTAGCCCCACCTCCTCCCTTCCATTCCACCTTCTGACCCTCCCTTCCAGCCACCAACCAGATTCATCCCTCCCATTGGCCAACCAGGTTGTACCTACTACCAATGCCCACCTATCACCACCATTCCGCCTCCACCTCTCCCCCCCACCACCAAGTTTATCTGCAGCTCCCCCTATCCCCACAGCCAGTCCTGAAGAAGAGTAATACCTGAAATGTTGACTGCTCCTTTCCTCCAAATGCTGCCTGGTTTGCTGTGCTCTTCCAGTCTCCTGTTTGTCTAGCTTGGATTCCAGCATTTGCAGTTTTTTTGTCTCTAGACACATATAATAGTTTGAAACATTGTCAGTCATTTGGATGGCTTGCTACTGTTAGTTTCTTTGTGTAGCAGGACCTGGTGCCCATCTGTCTGGGTCCTCCTTTGATCGGTGGATAAGTTGTTGGGGGTGTCCGTCCAGGATAACTTGCCTTTTACATTATGCTAATATCATTAGCACCTGGCTGCTGTATCTAGTGTGTGAGTTTTGTGATTTCAGAGTTTTGATTGTCTAATGTACCCAGCATCCCTTGCTGTTTGGCCAAGTTAGCAATCTATTTATGTTTTAGCAGCCTGCAGGCTGCTACTTCCAAGGGCACCGAATGTACTGTAGGTGGGGATTTCAATGTCCACCACCAAGAGTGACTCAGCAGCAGCACTGCTGATCAAGCTGATCGGGTCCTAAAAGACATAGCTGCTGGACTGGGTCTGTGGTGAATGGTGAGGGAACCAACAAGAGGGGAAAAATATATCTGACCTCATCCTCACCAATCTGCTGACTGCAGATGCATCTGTCCATGACAGTATTGGTAAGAGGGACTACTGCACAGTTCTTGTGGAGATTAAGTTCTGCCTTCACATTGAGAATACTTTCCATCGTGTTGTGTGGCACTATTACCATGTTAAATGGGACAGACTATGAACAGATCTAGTGACTCAAGCTTGGGAACCTACAGCAGCAGAATTGTACTCCAGCAGAATCTGCAATCTCATGGCCCGGCAAATTACCATCAAGCCAGGGCATCAACCTTGGTTCAATGGAGAGTGCAGGAGGGCATGCCAGGAGCAAAACTGGAGGCTGTCGTACATTTTATCCCCCTCCCAAAACAAAATGTTATTTAAAAATCGATGAAGTCACTGGGAATCGATTGATTTTGGTTTTGTAAATGTGACTGGGATATAATGGTCAATGCAACAAAGCAAACTGGTTCTCCGGGTCACAATTACATCACCAGGAATTTGTTGCACAGTCCAAACTAACACTCAATCTCTCAGGATGCAAGTGATTACTCCCCGAGCTTTAAAACAGGACTAATAGTCAGCCGATAAATACCGAAAGAACTGCAGATGCTGTAAATCAGGAACAAAAACAGAAGTTGCTAGAAAAGCACAGCAGGTCTGGCACCATCTGTGAAGAAAAAAATCAGAGTTAACGTTTCGGGTCCAAGTTCTGAGGAAGGGTCACCGGACCCGAAACGTTAACTCTGATTGTTTTTCTTCACAGATGCTGCCAGACCTGCTGAGCTTTTCTAGCAACTTCTGTTTTAGTCCCTAATATTCACCAAGTGGATTCACAGAGTATGGACCTGAGAGTTTGAAGGAAATAGTGGAATTTTATCTGCCTTCTTAAGGCATTAAGCTGTTATTTAGCTTATTTAGGCAGAGAAACATTGACAAGGGACTCATGGTGTGGTTGAAGTGCTACTTGAGCTCGAAGGTCAGGCTTCAAGTTCATTCTATTTCCTGTCCAGACAGATTGATTGAAGAAGTCTATATTAATGTTGACATGTTAATTAAATCGTGCAGGTTGATTGAGTTATGGGCACAAACGGACAACATTTTACTTTTTTATTTATATACCTGTCACTCCAATATTGACACACAAAAGAATATAGCCTATTTTGTCAACACATTATAGAGACAAAGAAAGAAAAATGGCATATGCTGCAATCAAACAAAAAATATTGAAAAATTGAGCAAGTCCAATTGACAATGTGTCTGCGTGAACAATAAAAATTCTGACCAACATTCCCACGTTTGCATGCTGTGCAAACATTGAGAGTGCCACATTGCATTGTTTCTAGGTTTCCAGAAAGTTGTTCAGGAAGTTGAACATGAAAGGCTGTTTTGACTACTGAAGGGTTTGAGTAAGTCAGTTCAGTGAGAGATTTGGAAAAAAGTGTTTCAAAATGAGGAAGCTCCAGCCTCAAATGCTGGTCTGGGGGCAGGCATTGGGTTAGCTTATTAGAAACTGGTGTCAGAGCCCTACATTTTATCCATATAAAGTACCTCCACACAGTAAACAACTCAAGCCAGTTTGCAGGAATGATTATTAAACAAATGGAGACATTAGGATTGATCTACAGAGTTGCGAACACAGCCCAGTGCATTACGCAAGCTAGCTTTCCATCTATTGACTCCATCTACACTTCTCGCTGCCTTGGGAAGGCAACAAACATAATCAAAGATCCCTCCCACCCCGGTTATACTGTCTTCCAACCTCATCCATTGGGCAGAAGATACAAAAGCTTAAACACACATCAATAGATTCAAGAACAGCTTCTTCCCCACTGTTATTAGACTTCTGAGTACACTTCTCAAATTTTAAATTTAATGTTGATCTCGTTCTTTGTGCACCTTCGCTGCAGCTGTAATATTGTATTTTTCATTCAGTTCAACTACCCTAATACATATTGTATGGTAATGATCTACCTGTACTTGACACAAAACAAAACTTTTCACTGTACCTAGGTACATGTGACAATAATAAATCAAATCAAAATTGTGGTCAAAGAGGTAGATTTTAAGAATTTTTAAAAGGGATAGGGATAGAGAGATGAAGAGATTGGGAAAAGAGGTTCTGGAACTTAGGGTACCGGCAGCTGAAGGTACGGCAAATAATGGTGGAGCAATGAAAATCAGGGATGAGCAAATTGGAAGAGTGCAGATATCTCAGGTTTTTATGTGATAGATGAAATGACATACCTGGAGAGGGATGAGGGAGCCATGCAGGGATTTCAATACAAAGAATTTTAACATGCAAATTCTTTTTCAACAGCAGTCAATATATGTCAACAAGGACAGGGATTCGTTAGGATATGGGCAGCAGTGTTTTGGATGTGTTGAAGTTTATAGAGACTGAGAGATGGAAGTATGACCAGGGAGTGTTGGAAAGGTCAAGACTAGAGGTAAGAAAAGCTGGATAAGGGTTTTGATAGATTGGCTGAGACAGACACAGACACAGACACAGACACAGACACAGACACAGACACAGAGTCAGACAATGTTAGGGAGGTGGAAATAGGTCTTAGTAATGACAGATTAATAAGTGTAAGACTGATGTTATAGAGTGCCAATGGGAGTATCAGGAGACACAGGGAAGACAAAGGGAAAGACTGTTGCAGAAAATGGCTGAGATAGCCCCAGTGTCAGACGTCACAGTGAAGAGGAAAGGTTAGAATCTCAACGGTCTTCATTGTTGAAAGATTAGTGATTGAGTCTGGCCTTCTGGAAATATGAGATATTCAAGTGGATAGAAACAAGGTAAATCTGAATTATGATTTAATTTAACCTGCAATTATAGAAAAGTGAACATCAGTACAAGGGGTTGCCAGTTTATGAATGTTTGTACACTTGTCCTTGTGAACAAGATCCCATATTTTTTTTAAGGATTTGACATGTGAACATTTGTTTGTACTTGTGAACTGCTGTTTTATATCGTGCGGTATTGTGTTTTGACTTGCATAGAAACTGATCTACCATCCTACTCAAAAACAGAGCGTTGTTTGTAACCTGGGGTCTGCCTGTGCAAACAGGGAAGAGAGAAGATCAGGAATGAGTGGGCGGGCCAAGACCACACACAGACTGCAACATGTCAAGCAAATGGTCCACCACCACCTTCACGGAGGTCTAGTGATGGACAAAATGCCGGCTTAGTCACTTGCCTGGTTCCAAACGTTCTCCCTTTGGATCTTCAAGCAAACAAAAGTTCCTTGGAGGAGAAAAGAGACAGCAGGCAGATGGGATTAGTTTTGGATAGCATATGGTCAGAATAGACATGATGGGCCAAAGGGCCTGTTCCTGTGCTGTATTGTTCTATGTTCTATGTTCAATGCGAGTGAATTTTTAACAACATTAATACCTGGAACAGAATCTGGAATCAGAAGCAAAATCTCAGGAATCATCATTCTGTTACTGTGACGGGAGACTAACAGTCTCCATCACTTCAAACTAAAAGAGGTGTCCAGCTTCCCTTCACTTGTCCTTTTTAGATGCTGCAATCCTCCGTCACTGTTTGTTGATTTTTCTGATCATGTTGTATTTATCATAGGGGCGCACACCTATCGATGGAACAAATGGACTCTGTACTCGGTCTATTCTGCAGCTTGAGGTGACCCACTGTGTTCAATGTAGGGTTGTACTGTTTTCCAAACCTGTCAACAGAGACCATTGTGGATATAACAGTTAGACCAACATTCAGAAACTTGTTAAGAATCACTGCACAAGCTTCCTGCTTCTGGGTTGGAGCTGAACCCAAACCCTCAGCAATTTACTGGGACATTGCTGTATGTCTAAAAGATAATGGAACACAGCCACCAAACTGTCCAGCCAGAAATCACTCAACGCTGAGGTGTCATAGTCAGTTGTTGTGTTTTACCTTGCTCACTGACCTATCCATTCTTTCAATGTAAATTGTAAACTCTCTACCACAATGCAAATCCCAACTCCAGGATTCACAGCTACAGTGGAAAGTAGATTTAAGGGGGGATTTTAACTCCTGTTCTTGATTCTTGATAAACGTTGCATTCATACTTAAAAAACAGCAAAACTCACAATCAGGGCGTTAATAGCAGACTAATGGGCAGTGAAAATAGAAACAAAAAACAATAATGTGTACACTGAAACACACTTACACTGAAACATACACACATTGAAACAAACACAAACACATATTGAAACACACACACTGAAACAAATATGGAAAGACACACTGAAACACACACACACAGAAATACAGACAAGGTCAGACATACAGGATGCTAGATTCATCATGTTTATCAGCAAAGGACAGTATTTCAAAAGCACCTTTCACATCATCATCAGATCCTAAAGTTCATTAGTGTTAATGGATTGGTGTCAACACTGGTGTATTGTAGGAATCATAGCAGCTAATTTTCACACACTATAAATTCCACAAGATCAATGAGAAAATGACTGGATAATCTGTGTGTGTGTGTATGCATGTATGTGTGCGTGTGTGATTGTGTATGCGCGTGCATGTGTGTGTGCATGCATGTGTGAGTATGTGCGCGTGTGTGTGTTCATACATATGTGAGTGTGTGCATATGTGAGTGTGTGCATGTGTGGGTCTGTGTACGTATATGAATGGGAGAGAATAAACAGATGTATGCATGTGTCCGAGTGCACGTGTGACTATGTGTGAGGTGAAGGATGAGTGAGTATGTGCTAGTGAGGGTGTGTGAGAGTGAGTGAATTTGTGAGAGAGAGAGTGTGTATCAGAGACCATGTGTGAGAGAAAGTGTCTGACAGAATGTGTGTGAGTGTGAGAAACTGCGTGCGAGAGAAATTGTGCTAGAGAGAGAACGTGTGAGAGGGTGTGCAAATGAATGTGAGAGAGGGAGTGTATGTTAATGAGTGTGTGAGCCTGAGCTGTTCAGATAGCTACATTTCACCTCCTCCTCCCTGCCTACCCCAAACCCTATCCTAGTCTGAAAGCCATACAAGCCAGTCCCAACTTGCCACATTCATGTGAATTCCACTGGGCCAACTCAGAGTTCAGAAGTGAACGAAGGTCGGTGTGAGTTAAACCTAACAGGCCAGCTCAGGCCTGGGGCTCAATCCCGTTCCTCAGTGATTAGGGCTTGGGCTTAATCTTTCATTTCTCTCTAGCACCACATCTCAATTGAAAAAGCAAACAAATGTTTTATTAGTTGCAAAAACAGTAATCGCTGGAGAAACTCAGCAGATCTGGCAGCATGTGTGGAGAAAGAAAAAGAGTTAACGTTTCAAGTTCCCTGACCCTTCTTCAGAACGGGGCAGAACTGGAGTAGGCCATTCAGCCCATTGAGTTTTCTCCGCCATTCAATGGGATTGTGGCTGATCTGACCATCCTTAACTCAACTTTCCTGCCTTTTCCCCCATAACCCTCGATTCCCTTCCTGATTGAAAGTTTGTCTGGTTTACCCATCTGGTTTACTGATGTCCTTTTAAGGAAGGAAATCTTCTGTCCTTACCTGGTCTGGCCTACATGTGACTCCAGACCCACAGCAATGTGGTTGATCCTTGACTGCCCTCTGAAATGCTCTAGAAAGCCACTCAGTCCAAGGACAATTAGGAATGGGCAACAAATGCCACTGACCCAGACCAGATGAAGGAAATAAGAAGGAAAAAAAAAACTCACCTTTTCCTCAATCAGCAGCTTGTGAGCAAATTCAAAATCAGGGGCCATAAATCGATCCTTAACTAAAGGCCTGCAAAACAGAAGCAGAAAGACAACAAGCAAGATTTAAATTTCAGAGTCTAATATAGGATCTGGGTTGTTTTCAATTACTTCTGAGAGGCTGAAGAGCAGTGTTGAATGGAGGCTGGTTATGTCAGTCTGGGCCTCTGGTATCTGCCTGGTTAAGGTTAGACAGCTTCATGGGCGTGAGATCAACAAAATCTGAGCTGAACATGTTTGATCCAAAGAGTCATTTCTATCCTTGGTTCAAAACAACACATGGAACACTTAGAAGGTTGTGCAGGATAGAATGTGGGAGACTAGCCAGGAACGTGCTGGGATAATCACTCTCAGAGAGAACATAGAAGTGGTTTTCGGCAGCGAATGAGCTAAGTCCAGGGGTGCAGTCAGGCAATGTCACAGTGGTCTTAGAGAAAGCCCCAGTGGGTCAGATGCTCCAATTGTGGTTGTGAACAGATTGGCTTCAACCCATTCTGTAGCCCAGGAGAAGGGTTGGAGTTTGAGGCTAGGGAATTGAATGGGGACTGAAAACAATGGTTGCAGTCTTCCCTCTGTTTAATTGGAGGAAATTTGAGGCACATATGCCATATGTCCTCGCTAAGCCACACAGCATCATTCTTTGGACTGGAAAATTTTTTTTCTATTCATTTGTGGGATGTTGGCGTCACTGGCTAGCCAGCATTTCTTGCCCATCCCTAGTTGCCCTTGAGAAGGTGGTGATGAGCTGCCTTCTTGAACCGCTGCAGTTCTCCTGCTGTGGGGTGACCCACATCACTATTAGGGAGCGAATTCCAGGATTTTGACCCAGCTACAGTGAAGGAATGACCATATATTTCCAAATCAGGATGGTGAGTGACTTGGAGGGGAAGTTGGAGGTGGTCGTGTTCCCATATGTCTGATGCCCTTGTGCTTCTTGATGAAAGTGGTCGCGGTTTTGGAAGGTGCTGTCTGAGGATTTTTGGTGAATTTCTGAATTGAAGTGTATTGATCTGGTTATCCATTTCCATTGTGAACACAGGTTGTAAACACTTTGGGGTCCACATGTTTCATATATTAGCTCATTCTCTTTTCTATTTGCCACTTTCATTCTGGAAGTCTACTTGAGCAGCAGATCAGGGACCATTAATGGCAGAAATGCTTCATTTTTGGACACACAAACAGTACTGATTCTTGATTCCTCAATGTTTAAATTGAACTAGTAACTTACTTCACCGCTGAGCGAACCAGCTTGTAGACACTCTCCAATGGCTCTGTTGTGTGCAGTGGGCGCAGAAACTCAAGGCCCTGACATGCTGCCAGGAGCTCGATAGCAAGAACTGGAAGAAAATTGATCTCACAGAGGAGTTAAATTTAGAATTGTCAATCTAACCTTTAGCCAATTCAGTCTGATGCCAACTTACCAAATTTATATTTATAGAGTGCCTTTAAGTTTCTGAGGAATGTTATCAACAACGTATTGGCACTGTGCCAAAGAAGGAGTCATTATGGTAAGGCATTGTTGTTGCATAAGACACTTGCTAGACCTGAAACTATTCCTGTAAATCATTCCCGCATTCTCTCAAATATATTCACATCTTCCCTGGAGCTACGATGACTGACCTATAACAACCACAATCATCTTCCTTTGCACCAGGTATGATTCTAACCAGCAGAGAGTTTTCCCCCAATTGACACCTCTCTCTCCCCTTTATTCACATTGCCCTTGAGAAGAGATCATGGATAATGAGTAATTAACTTGCTCACCAGTCTGTAGACAAGGTTATGGAATGGGCCTTTGTATAAGGAACAATTTTTCAAGTGGTTTGAGACGATGGGAGGGATCAACACTTTACTTCAGTGTGAATGAAGTCACTAGTTCCTGTAATTGTTATAAATCAGGCTCTGACAGCGAGTGGGGGACTTGAACCCACAATCTCCTGACTCAGACGGGGTTGTGCCAGCCACTAAGACACAAAATTACCACCTTGCCCTCAGACCCAGTCTCCCATATCACAAGCTGGGCACTAACCATTACACACACAGGGCAAAGACATAATCTAGAGCTTGCCATTTCAAATCTAGGTTATCCAATAATTTAAACAATTGAAGTGACAGCAAGAGCAACTCTTATTTATATAGCACCTATAACTTAAGGAAACTCCACAAGGCATTACATGAGCGATTATAAAGCAGAATCTGACATAAAATCATGTAAGGTTCCACCAGGGCAGCTCACCAATGGTTTGGGTGGGTTTAAATGAGGAAACAACTGCAGAAAGGCAGAGGGGATTAGAGACAGAATTAGAGAACTTTGACACCGAAATGGAAATTTAGGATGAAGATAATAACACTACAATCAATGACCTTGCCACCATCATAAGGTCCAAAGTGGGGATGTTTGCTGATGATTGCACAATGTTCAGCACCATTCACAACTCCTCAGATACTGAAGCAGTTCATGTTCAAATGTAACAAGATCTGGACAATGTCCAGGCTTGGGCCAATATCTGAGCTGTATGAGACACTTGTTAGACCTCAGCTGGAGTGTTGTGTATAGTTGTGAGCCCCGCATTAGAGGAAAATGTGAATGTATTGGAGTGTGTGCAGTGCAATTTACAAGATTGTTCCAGGAATGAGAAACATCAATTATAAGGATAGATTGGAGAAGTTGGGAATGTTCTCCTTGCAGAGAAGAAGACTGAGAGGAGATGTGATAGAGGTTTTGAAAATCATGAGTGGGTTGGACAGAGTAGCTAGGGAGAAGCTATTCCTGCTCATAAATTGTGTACATTCATCAGTCTTTTCTCTGACACTTTTTAAAGCTCTGTTTCTGGAGCTTTTTTCTTATTAACTTTGAAGCCACTTAGGAGTTATTTTCTTCTGCCCTGACCATTCTGGAGACTGCTAATCAGCACAGCTGCTCTTAGAAGTCTTTGTCTCTGAATGACCTGCTTCTCTCTATGAAAGAAACCTTCAGACTCATTACCCTTCAAATGGTTTTCTCTGCTTCAAAGGAAATTTGTTTCTGGCTCATTCTCTTTGTGTCATTTAACACCTTGTTGTGATCTGAGTCCTTTTTTCTCTCTTCTACCCGTGTTTCCAGAAGCACTAAACTATTCACCTCAAAGGCTTTTTAAAGACTTCAATTAAATGCATATAAACAGACTCCAGCCACTAAGATGAAAAACAGAACCTGAAACCATTCTTGTAGTCCCCTACAATATAGAAATACAACTCAAACCTAAAGCTATACTTGCTTCAGTCCACTTTAGAACCTGAGTTTTCAAATAATATCACAAAGTTTCATCACTTGTAAAAGTGTATGTAACCATAACAACTCAGACTCTCTGAGCAATATGATAGGGGGCCCTAATGAATGTCAGTTATCTTCAGGGTCTCAAGAAGCTAGAATTGGTCTTTTTGGAGTACAGAGGGTTAAGGAGAACTTAATCAAGGTAATCAACATTATGAAAGGTATTTTTAGAGTAAATGAGAAGAAAGTATTTTAATTGGTAGAAGCCTTGTTATCTAAAACATGCAGATATGAAATGATTGGTTCAAGTATTAGACAAATGTACCCATCACACTTGGTTAAGGTTAGTGTTGGGACTGGGGCTCCAGTAGAACTGGGTAATGGATTGAAACTAGACCAAGTGAGCTTTTCTCCTTTTTTTCACATGACATGGTCTAATATTACACCCTCTCCTCAAGCTTAGCTTGTTCGCCATCATTGGTACTGAGTCCTATCATTTAAGATACTGAGATACTGGGAAGTGTGGATGTACAAAGTGATCTGAGCATCCTTGTACACCAGTCAATGAAAGTAGACAGGCAGGTGCAGCAAGCAATTAGGAAGGTAAATGGTATGTTGCCGTCATTATAAGAGGATTGGAGTTTAGAAGAAGGGATAGCTTACCACAGTTATATTGGGCCTTGATGAGACTAGGCCTGGGGTATTGTGTGTATCTTTGGTCTCTCTACATGAGAAAGGATATACTTGCCATTGAGGGAGTGCAGCGAAGGTTCACTGGCAGTTCTGTCCTAGGAGGAGAGATTGGTTTGACTGGGCCTGTATTCACTCAAGTTTAGAAGAATGAGAGAGGATCTGATTGAAATGTATAAAATTCAAACTCAATTGCACAGGTTAGATGAAGGGAGGATGTTTCCCCTGGTTGGGAAGTCAAGAACCAGGGGACACAGTCTCAGGATATAGAACCATAGAATTCCTACAGCGTGGAAGCAGGTCATTCGGCCCACTGAGTCCACATCGACCCTCCCGACAGCATCCCACCCAGACCCACCCAGACCCACCCCCTACCCTATCCCTGTAACCCTGCATTTCCCATGGCTAATCCATCTAACCCGAACACAATGGACAATTTAGCATGGCCAATCCAACCTACCTGCACATGTTTGGACTGTGGAGGAAACTGGAGCACCCAGCGGAAACCCACGCAGACACAGGGAGAATGTGCAAACTCCACACAGATAGTCACCTGAGGTTGGAATTAAACCCCGGTCTCTGGTGCCGTAAGGCAGCAGTACTAACCACAGAACCACTGTGCCCCATGGGGTAGACTACTTTGGACTGAGATGACAAAGGATTTATTCAGCCAAAGGGTACAGAATCTGTGGAACTCTCTACCACAGAAGGCCAAGTCACTGGATATATTCAAGAAAGATAAATATCTAGATATTAAAGACATCAAGGAGTGTGGAAAGGATATGGGAATATGACACTGTGCTTGAGGATTAGTCATGATTCTATTGAATGGTGGAGCAGGCTTGAAGGGCTGAATGGCCCATTCTTCCTCCGAGTTTCATTGTTTGACATGACAGCCCTCGAGAAAGAGTCTTACCTTGCTCAACATGGTCAATAACTCTCAACGCTTTCCTGGCAGCCCATCCGCCCATGGAGACATGGTCCTCAGTGGCAGCGCTGGTGGACAGAGAGTCGACAGAGGATGGATGACACAGCACTTTGTTCTCGGACACTAGGGAGATGGGAAGTTATTGCCTGGTGACTGGATGTTCTCAGTGTTTCGGTGTTGGTGTGTAAATACTGAACAACTCATCATTGCATTGTTAATGAAGAAATCTCGTAACTTGTTCAAAAGGAAAGTGAAAAATGGTATTACTGTAGCACTATTCATTGCTGACCAATGATAAGACCACACTGAGAGTACTGTATGCAGTGTACATTTGAAGCAATTCAGAGAGAAGTCATTGGACAGATTCTTGGGATGAGGTATTTCTTGAAGAGGTTGGATCTATACTCATGGGAGTTTAAAGGAATGAGAGGTGATTCTATTGAAACCTATATGAGAGTTTGAAAGGGTTTGATGGGTTGGATGCAGTACTGGGGACACTGGTTTTGAAATAAGGGGTCTCCCAATTAAGAGAGAGATGAGGAGGAATTTCCTGACTCGATTTTCTTCCATGATTGTTGGCTTATGGAATTCTCTTCCCCAGAGAGCAGTGGATGCTGGATCACTGAATATATTCAAATCTAGCTTAGACCCATTTCAGAGCAGAGAAACTCAAGGATTTTGGGAGGGACAGACAGAAAAGTGGAGTTGAGGCCACAATCTAACCAGGTATGATCTTATTAAATGGCGGAGCAGGCTTGAAGGACTGAATGGCCTACTCCCGCTCCTGCCTGTTTGTTTTTTTTTACATGACCTCCAGACTTCCTAAAGCATTTCACAGCCACTGCGTTGAAGTCTGGTCAGCTTTGTAATGTAGTAAAATCAACGGCCAATTTGCACACAGGAAGATCCTAGACACAGCAATGTGATATTGAGCAGGTCATTTGTTGGTTGATGGATAAATGTTGGCCAAGACAATTGGTGGGGCTCCTTCTCCATGACCTGCCTCAGCCCTACTCTTCTTGAAAACAGTGGAATCCTTTACACCAACCTGAGAGGGCAGGCAGGACCTTGGTTAAACATGTCCTTGAAAAGATGACACCTCTGACAGTGCAGTACTTTGAGGAAATGTCAGTCTGTGTTAAATCTGTGTTCACTGGAATAAACAAAATGTTACGCAGATGGTTGCAAATTGCTGATTCTGGACACACTTAGAAACCAAGCAGTATTGATGAAGGGAGTTAGTGCTTCTTGTAAAAGGTCAATGATGAGAAATGGTAACCTTTTCATCTTATCGCCAGGTACTGGCTGACCTGCTTGAAGCTTCTAGTACTTTCTGTTTGCATCTTTATACAATTCAACTTTCTGTTGTACATTTTCCTTGTCTCCATCAGCTAATGGTACAAGGACTAAGGGACATCTTTTGAAGGTTCGAAGGTGAGTTTTTGAAGAATTAGTTCATGCAATGTGGACGTCGAGCATTTATTGCCCGTCCCTAGTTGCCCTTGAGAAGGTGAGTGGGGAGCTGCCTTCTTGAACTGCTGCTGTCCTTGTGCTGTAGGTAGACCCACAATACCCTGAGGGAGGAAATTCCAGCATTTTGACCCAGCGACAGTGAAGGAACAACGATAAATTTCCAAGTCAGGATGGTGAGTGGCTTGGACAGGATCTTGCAGTTTGAGGTGCAGAGGGCTGATGATGTGGGGAGAAATGTAAGCAGGAATTATCGAAGGGTAATGACTGGAAGTCACTGCAGAAACAGAGACAATTGATGATAGCACTTTAGGGAGAATTGTGGAGACAGAGCAGGGGAATGGGACTGACTGAACCACTGTACGGAGAGACAGAATGGAACTATTGGGTTGAATGGCTTCTACTTGAGCCATAATGATTGGCAAGGGAGGATTTTCCTAATCTCCGGGAGGTGGGCAAATAACAGGGATTCACAACAGGAGCAGTTCAATGACACATTCTCACTTCAGGGATATCTTTCTGGGGTTGATGGGAATAGGATTGGGGTTGGGATGTCCGATATGCACTGTGTATATTTAATCCTCAATTTCCAAACATTTAGACTGTTGTGCAGCACAGTGCCATCATTACACAGGTGACCTATCCTGGGGTATCAGCCACTAAAGGCAGCAGCAGGGGCTAAATCACTGCCGAGCTATTGGTTTTCCCTTGAAACAGAGTAATAATGACCTCCCCCTCTCCAGTCACATTGACTTTGAGGCACCCTCACATTCTCCTGCTCTCTTCAGCAGCACCCAGCTCTCTCAAGAGTAGCTGTCCAGCTTCCAACACTGTCTGCCCTTTGACTGGGGGCCAGCAACAGGGTCCCATACCTTGGCTGCCTGCCTGTGTACTGGACACCAGCTCCAAGTCAGTGCTTCTGAGCAAAGAGCTGGCCCAGCAAGTGTGAGCTCATTTGGTCCCAAAAGCAAGTTCCTGAAAAACATGAGAAATTCTGCTTCTGTAACTCTCGAACTATGGTGTTCAGTTAAAGAAATTCAAACATTATTCTGTGTCTTGCAAAATCCACTATTTATTTGCTCTATTTGAGAGATGAGATGGTTCAGAATTGGTTCTGAAGAAGAGTCATACTGGACTCAAAATATTAACTCCACCTCTCTCTCTCTCTCTCTGTACAGATGCTGCCAAATCTGTTGTGTAGACAAGATGTTCCCTTATGTGGGGCAATCTAGAACAAGAGGCTTTAGGATTAGGACTAACAGCTTTAAAACAGAAACGAGGAGAAATTATTTCTCTCATAGTGAATCTGTGGAATTCATTCCCCCAGAGTGCAGGGGTTGCTGGGATACTGAATAAATTTAAGGAGGAGACAGATTTTTAATTAGTAATAGGTTGAAGGGTCATGGAGAGTGGCAGGAAAATGGAGTTGAGGCCATGTTAAATGGCACAGCGGTCTCGAGGGACTGAACTCCTGCTCCTAGCTGTTATGTTTTTACCTTACTCCCGCATTCTTTGTGCTTGTTTTCAATGTCCAGCATTCACAGCATTTTTGCCTTTAGACCAATGTTTTCAAGAGGGTGCCTGTCAAACTCTCACAGTCAGTAAGTGTTCATACCTAATGCGGCCGCTGTACAGTGAGGAATCATGAAGCCTGAGTTCAGGCCCCCATCACTAACCAGGAAGGCAGGCAGTTCAGTCAGGGATGCGTTACACAGTCTCTCAATCCTCCTCTCGCTAATTGATGCCAACTCGTGGACACCAATCGCCAGGTAGTCAAGGGCCTGTTCCAAGGAGACAAAGGTCAGTCTGTTCATTGTATGGGTGATCACCATTACATCATAACTGCTTTCAAAAAAATACCGGTGGCCAGCTCTTTAGCTGATTAAATCACCCTCAGAGCATCGGCTTCCAAATGACTGCCAATGACATTGTTGGATGTTGTATGGGGAGGGTGGGCAGGTTGTAGGCTCGTGAGCAGGAACTCTGGGCAATGTACAATGTGCCTGCCCAGGGGTCTCTGTGTCACAGTGTCTGATACAAACTGTCAGGACTCACTCCCAGCCCATCTGCCAGCTGAGTGCCAATGCTGTTTACAGACAAAGAACCGGACTCCCACTGGCACTGACCAATTGAGGACTCCCTCTCCTCCACTCTTGAGGGTCATTGCAGAATTGGGAACTGGCTGTGGTTCCCTCGCTCAGTGCATCCTCGAAGAGTGGGGTCCTCTGTACATCACTTGAGTATCTGACATAGGTGAGGCTGCTTCCTGAGACAGGTCAGCCATCAGAAATAAACAGCGGAACAGTCCCCTTCAATTACAATGCTCAATCTGACAGGTTCACTGAGGATGTGATACAATAAAAATGCCTCTTAATGCACTTTCCGAATTGCGCTCTCTCAAGCTATTTTAATACAGCCTTATATTCCTGTGACAAATGTGAGTTAAATGCTTGGATATTACTACAATAATTTCTAGGTCCTCATTTTTGAAATCTTCAAACCCTTCCACTCTAAGAAGATGGTTGTGATTATTTAAGGTTAATCACCTGAATCCCATCACTGAAGTGGTTTCCTCAGGCTAGCGCCCTAGGCTCAACCATCTTCACCTTTCCTCCATCGTAAGGTTAGAGGGGGGGACATTTGTGGATGATTGCACAATGCTCAGCACCACCCAGGACTCCTCAGATACTGCAGCAGTCCATCCCTAAACGTGGCAAGATCTGGGCATCCACACGTAGATTGATGAGTAACAAGTAATACTTGCGCCACACAAATGTCAGGCAATGACCATCTCCAACGAGAGAGTGTAATAATCACCCAAAGCCTGTCCACCATCTACAAGGCACAAGTCAGGAGTGTGATGGAATACTCCCTGCTTGCCTGGATTGGTGCAGTTCCAACAACACTCAAGAATCTAGGCACCATCCAGGAGAAAGCAGCTTACTTGGTTGGCATCACATGCAACACCTCAAATCTGCTCTCATTCTAATACCAAAGAACAGTAGCGACGGTATGTACTATCTCACAAACCCTCTTTTCAGAGCATTTTCCGAGCAAATGATCTCTACCATCTAGAAGGACAAGGGCAGATTAACGGGAACACCATCCCCTGCAAATTCCCTTCCAAGCCACTACCATCCTGTCTTGTAAATGTATCGCTGTTCCTTCACTGTCACTGGGTCAAATCCTGGAATTCCCTCCCCTAAGGGCATTGTGGGTCTAGCTACAGCACATGGACTGCAATGGTTCAAGAAAACAGCTCATCACCACCTTCTCAAGGGCAACGAGAAATGGATAATAAACGCTGGCCTAAACATTGACACTCATACCCATGAAGAAATAAAGAGAACCCCTCAGTAATAAATTACAAATGACTGAAGATAGTTAATTCATTTTATTGAGCTACATATTTTAGTGACTCTGTTATTTGTATCTTCCAGTAGTGGTATTTTTGTTCACTTAGAATTCTGTAAACTCTGATACTGGACAAAACCATGAAATGGCCTCAATTGCCTGACACTTACTTTGGCAGGATATTCACCATGGAAATTCCCACATGAAATAACTTCACCTCTGTCCACAAGCACAATCTGGAAACTGGTTAAGGGAAGAAAGTGTTCTGATTTTGAAGGATACACAAGTGGTTTCATGCTAGAAGTAAAGCTAGGTTAGAATAACAATGTTTAAAATGGCCCTTCTCTTATAGAGTCATTGAGTCATACAGCAAGTAAACAGGCCCTTCATTCCAACCAGTCCATGCCGAACATAATTCCAAACTAAACTAGTCCCACCTGCCTGTGCCTGGCCTATATCCGTCCAAACATTTGCTATTCATGTATTTATCCAGTCTTCTTCCAATAGTGCCATGGAATCCTTTTTACCACCTTAGAGAGCTCCCTTAAAAGTTTCATCCGACATCTGGAATTTCTGACAATGCCAAACTCCCTCAGTGGCATACTGCGCTGTTGGACTGGAATTCTGCCCTCAACACTCTAGAGTGGGTTTTGAAAAACCAACCTTCAGTGAAACCTACAGAAACATAGAAAACAGGAGCAAGGGTAGGCCATTTGGCCCTTCAAGCCTGTACACCATTCAATATGACCACGGCTGATCATCCAACTCAGTACCCTGTTCCCACTTTCTCCCGTTGATTCCTTAAGAATTATATCTAACTCCTTCTTGAAAATATTCAATGATTTGGCTTTAACCACTCTCAGGGGCAGAGAATTCCACAGGGTCGTCAGTGTCTGGGTGAAGACATTTCTCCTCATCTCAGTCTGAAATAGCCTATCCTGATATCCTCGGACTGTGACCCTTGGTTCTGGATTCCCCCATCATGGAACACCTCAATCCATTTTAGTCTGTCTAGTCCTGTCAGAATGTTATAGGTTTCTGTGGGATCTCCTTCATTCTTCTAAACTCCGGTGAATATAATCCTAACTGATCCAGTCTCTCTTCATATGTCAGTCCTGCCATCCCAGGAATCAGTCTGGTAAACCTTCACTACACTGCCTCCATTGCCAGAACATCCTTCCTCAGATAAAGAGACCAAAAATGCACACAATACTCCAAATGTGTTCTCACCAAGGCCCAGTACAATTGTAGCAAGGCATCCCTGCTCCTGCACTCGCTAGGAAGACCAATGTACCATTTGTCTTTTTCACCGCCTGCTGCTTACTTTCAATAATTGGTGTACAAGGGCCCAGGTCTCGTTGCACCTCCTCCTTACCCCAATCTATTGCCATTCAGATAATTATCTGTCTTCCTGTTTTTGATACTTATCCACGGTATACTTCATCTGCCATTGCATTTGCCCACTCACTCAACTTGACTGAGAAGGAAAAATGCCACTGGCCATCGGAGCTAACACCTAAATAAACACTGATGACAAAACTGATCCACTTGCTGCCTTTTGAGTAGTCTTCATTCACTTGATTGCTGATTACTTTACACTGAAATCACTCTGTAAGTAAGAGCAGGCCTGTGCCCCATGTGAGTTTGGCTTCATGAAAGGATACTGGATTATCAGTGACACTGTTCATTTCAGTCACCAGAATCGATTTCACAAATCTGATCGTATCATTGGCCACCCCATGGATCTGGAAAACAGAATGCCCTGATCAGGAGAAACCTACACCCACTTGGCCACTTAGTTAAAAGTCGAATAAAGCAGGAATCTGTAATATCTACCTGTGGGCAGCAGCGAAGGGTATAGGCATCCTGGACACGGCCACAGAACCGGTGGCTTTCTGTCAAAGTTCCACAACATTACACAGTTATAATTCCACAGACCTTTCAAACGGCCGGTGAAGTCATTCCTACAAGAAAACCAATGCTTTACCTGCAATTTCAGATGGATGAACATCGGAATGCAAGACTGACCGGAACCGAGCAGCTACTTCTATCTGGCCTGGGTGAGGTCGGAGGTCATGGACGTCTGTTTAATGTACAAGGTGACAGCACTGTGTTAGCCAAAGGTCAAAGGTTCAAGCCCTCGAGCTGATCATTGAAAGCACCAGCAGCAAGGAGTCCATTATTTCAGTCGATCAGTCCATATAAAGTCTGCCTAATGGCTCAATTAAACGTCTTGTGGATAGAGTCCCAGTCTCTGACCCAGCAGTTCTAGGTTCGAGTCCCACTCCAGAAGCTGATGACCAAGGACAGTGTGTTTGCTCTGGAGCAAACTGTGAATCCTCCGATAGGTGCCACTGGCAGGTTGTGAGAGTCAAGGAGACTCCTGGTCTGCAATGGAATGTTGTGATGGTATAAAACTGCAGCTTTCAGCATCACTACATACAGCTCCCGGCTATAACATACAACAGACATGAGGGAGTGTCTAGGCAGCCAGTATGGCCAAGCTTGGTGCCTACGCAATAGGGATAGATCTCTGTTGTGGCTGGGCCTGGATTCAGAAGCTGCCTCCTTGCCCTATCCATTGTAGAGACTACAATGCAGTGGGTCAGATCAGCCACTGGGCAGAGGAGAAGGAGAATGAAGATCACTCACCACTATCAAAGGCTCTGGTGGTGCCTTTCAGAACTTCCAGAGTGATAGCTGCTATGATATCTGCCTGTCTGGCTATCGCCGTTGCTCTCTCCACTGCTTCCACACCGAGTGACGTGATCATCTGAGTGCCATTGATCAGGGCCAGTCCCTAAGTACAAACAGCCAATTGAACTGAAAATCATTTCGATATAAACTAAATGGAGTTGTCATTTGGGGATACAGAACTTGAGTGTTACTGAAAAAGAGAAGTTTTATTTCACGAGGATAATTCCCAACAATATCAAAGTAAAGGAAAAGCAATATTTATGCTGTATGAGAAGAGAGTGCTGATTGGTTGTCAAGTGTGTTCAGATTGGTAGAGGCATTGCCATGGAGAATGCACTGGTTAGATAATGTTTGACAGTTAACCGCCAAGCTTTGTTTAAATTTGACCAGCTAAATTGACTCAGTGGCATAAATTATCGATAAATCATTGTTTAATTTAGTAAATAAAGTGACTGCAGCTATGGTAATCAGCTGTTCCTGGAACAGAAATAAATATTACTGAAACAGCTTTGTGGTTTCAAACTTTAAACAAACACCAAATAATTTGGCAAGTAAATGCATCTCTTCAAAGGAAGGGAAGTCTTATAGATCTGCAGGATGTGGGACTAAATACAGTGAAACCTTCCTTGCCAAATTCAATGAATAAACAGCCAGTAGAAAAAAAAATAGAGAAGTCTTGTAAGAGCAGCAATTAGATATGTTTTACACAACGATATAGGATTTGGTAATGCTGATAGATTTTTATTCAAATGTCCTTTAAATCCTGTTTTCTGGATAAGAAAATATCAGAATGTTTTCTTACCTCTTTCGCTTTTAGTGAAATTGGCCGGAGACCATAAGCTTGCAAAACCTGATGGAAAGAGGGTAGAGTCAGGACCAGTTTATCATCAAATCACCCAGAATCAGGGAATTCTCTCAATTCACATCTAATTACATAATAACAGACCCTTGCATTTGTATAGCACCTTCAAGGTAACAAAATATCGCAGTCATTCATCAAGGCACTATAAACAGAATGTCACACTAAGCCATATAAACAGATATTGGGGGAGATGAACACAAGTTCAGTTAAAGACGTTATGTTTATGGAATGTCTTAAAAGGGGGAAAGAGACAGTGAGTTTAAGGAAATGAGAAATCTAGAGCTTAAGGCCAAGGCAACTGAAGACATTGCTACCTTTACTGAAGTCCAGTTTCTTCCAAAAAGGGTGGCTCGAGAATCCAGAATCAGAAGAACTCAAATACCTCGGAGGGTTGTAGGGCTGGAGGAGCTTAGAGATAGAGAGGGGCCAGGGCAGACATGGATTTAAGACAAGGCAGTGAATTTTAAAGCTAAGGCATTGTTTAACTGGGAGCTGGTGCAGGTCAATGAACCCAATGTGAATGGGCAAACAGCAGTTGATGTAAGTGAGAGCACAAAGAGGTTTGGATGACCTCAAGATTATGGAAGGTAGAATGTGGCAGACCAGGCAGGAGTGCATTGGGTCTAGTTGATGGGGATAAAGAGGGTGCCAATGAAGGTTTTAGCAGTAGCTAGGCCATGAACGAGCATGGAGATGTGGTTGGAAGTTCATGTGGGATTAAAGATGGTGCACAAGTTATACACAGATTCAGAGTTTCCAGGGAGAGTGATGGACTCGGTTGGTGGAGAGACTATAGGCATTGGTTCCAGCCTTCCCAGTGTTAATTAGGGGAGTTTTCTGTTCTGGATGTCAGATCAGCAGTGGGACAATTTAGAGACTGTGTTGGAGTAGGGCTAGTTGAGAGAGATGGCTGTGAGATAGAGCCGGGTTTGACAGTGTACATGTGGAGGCTGATGTCATCAAGTGGTGGCAGGAGGATGGGAAATTGGAGAGCAGCAAGGGTCAGTCCTTGGGAGAACCTGAGGTAATGATGCAGGAACAGGAAGAGAGGCCAGTGTGGATGATTGTTCCACTCTGATTTGACAGAAGAGATCAGACCAAAGGCGAGTGTAGTCCCAGCCAGCTAGACAACACTGAGAAGGTGTTGGGGGAGGAGGGTGTGGTCAACCAAAGGCTGCAGAGAGTTCCAGAAGGATGATGAGAGATGTATTCCATACGATAATGGTTCTGAAATGTTAATGTTGAAGACTGCATTATGTCCCACCCATGTCACAAGGACTTGAGTGGGGAAAGATCCGGAGCTTCTAGAGTGAAGACCTTTAGCTCCAGGTCTCTCAGTGGTCTCGGTAACAATGTCAAACTACTCATCTAACATGCATTTAATTGCCATCATGCAATAAACTACGCTGTGTTTAAGATAAGAATTTCTTTAAGACTCACTAATTATTGTTGCTCGACCACTGCAAAACAAACAGGCCTTTAGACTCAGTCTAGGAAAGAGGATGTTAGCAACAAACTAGTCCAGCCTCAAGATGGCATCACAACACACACAAAGAGATTAGTTTATATTTATCAATCATTTGTGACTTCGGTAAGAGTTTGTGCACTGTAATGGGGAAGAAAACTGACTGGAAGGATTTCAACATGGATTTCAAGGAAAGATGGACATGGACTTTGGAGGAGACAATATGTTCAATGATTTTGGAGCGGAAAGGAAAGTTGGAGATGGGGCATTAATTGATAAACTTGGGGGTTCAAGAGTTGGCTTTTTTCTGATTAATCACATAGGATCATATAGGTTGTTTAGGATCATGGATCATTTAGGATCATGGATGATGTAGAATCATTGATCATTAGGAATCATAGATTATTTAGGCTTATAGATGATAGAAGATCACAGATCATATACAATCATTGATCAAGTATGATCGCAGATCAGCACAGAAGGTTCCATTCTGCCTAAATGACAGTTGTTAATTTTTTGAAATCTTCCAAAATAGTGAAAACAAATACGAGAGAACTCACGTATTTGGCATCTGCCCAGCCACTTTTGGGCGACCACATTTTGCCTTCACCCATCAGTCCCAGAGCAAGATGGGCAAGGGGAGCGAGATCGCCACTGGCACCGACTGTCCCCTTCTCTGGGACGTAGGAGAGGCAGGAAACTACAGGGGGGAAGGAAAGGGGACAGGGAAAAATCAGCTGGATCACCGATGAGAAAAGTATGTGGCAGGGTTTTAATCCCCTCACCCAGCATGATGAAAATGGAGACAGGGAGTGAAAGGCTGGGGAATTATGTTGGAGTGGCTCCAAAATGCGATCCCATAGCCATGTTGGCTTGACTGCCTGTTAACAGAGGCTGGCAGTGATCTGATTGATTAGTGGCCCAATCCAGGATAGTTTTTCTGGGCCATTGACATTTTACCAGCGGCTTGATCCACTCACCAAATGAAAAGGCCACTGGCTCTTTGGACCAAGCTTTCCAGCAGTTTTCCTGGGGGAAGGTGAAGGGAGAAGGGGTTGTGTATTAGAGTCAATGGTTCCTGGCACAGGGAGGAGGTCCCCAGCAGTAAGGATGACCCTGCAGCTCTCACACTGCGCTGGAGTGATTCCCCTTGGATCTCCATATGTTGCTGGATTGGCTGTCAAAGATTTATTTGTTGTTCACTCAAAGGGACCCCCATAATCTCCTCACTGCCTGAGCAACACCTACATAAGGCCATAAGACATAGGAGCAGAAATTAGGCTATTCGGCCCATTGAGTCTGCTCCACCATTCAATCATGGCTGATAAGTTCCTCGACCCCATTCTCCTGCTTTCTCCCTGTAACCCTTGATCCCCTTGATAATAACCTGTCTATCTCAGTCTTAAACGTACTCAATGACCTGGCCTCCACAGCATTCTGTGGCAGTGAATTCCATAGATTCATCACTCTCTGGCTGAAGAAGTTTCTCCTTATCTCCATTCTAAAAGGTCTTCCCTTTACTCTAAGGCTGTGCCCTCGGGTCCTAGACTCTCCTTCCAATGGAAGCATCTTCCCAACATCCACTTTGTCCAGGCCATTCAGTATTTTGAAAGTTTCAATTAGATCCCCCCTCATCCTTCTAAACTCCAATGAGTATAGTCCCAGGGTGCTCAAAAATTCCTCATATGTTAAGCTTTTCATTCCTGGGACCATTCTCATGAACCTCCTCTGAGCCCACTCCAGGGCCAGTACATCCTTCCTGAGATATGGGGCCCAAAACTGCACGCAATACTCCAAATGTGGCCTGACCAGTGTCTTATAGAGCCTCAGTAGTACATCCCTGCTTTTATATTCAAGTCCTCTTAAAATAAACACCAACATTGCATTTGCCTTCCTGACTACTGAGTCAACCTGCAAATTTACCTTGAGAGAATCCTGGACTAGAACTACCAAGTCTCTTTGCACTTCAGACTTCTGAATTTTCTCCCCATTTCGAAAATAGTCCATGCTTTTGTTCTTCTTACCAAAGTGCATGACCTCACACTTTGCCATGTTGTACTCCATCTGCCACTTCTGTGCCCACTCTCCTAACCTGTCCAAGTCCTTCTGCAGCCTCCCCACCTCCTCAATACTACCTGTCCCTCCACCTATCTTTGTATCATCTGCAAACTTAGCCAGAATGCTCACAGTTACTTCATCTAGATCATTAATGTATAAAGTGAAAAGTTGTGGTCCCAACACTGACCCTTGTGGAACACCACTTGTCACTGGCTGCCATCCTGAGAAAGACCCCTTTATCCCCACTCTCTGCTTTCTGCTAGACAGCCAATCTTCTATCCATGCTAGCACCTTGCTTCTGACACCATGGGCCCTTATCTTACTCAGCAGCCTCCTGTGCGGCACCTTGTCAAATGCCTTCTTGAAGTCCAGGTAGATAACATCCATTGGCTCTCCTTGGTCTACCCTGCTCATTACTTCCTCAAAGAATTCTAGCAGATTTGTCAGGCGTGACCTCCCCTTGATGAAATGGCAGACATAAGACATAGGAGCAGAAGTAGGCCGTTGGCCCATCAAGTCTGTTCCGCCATTCAATGAGATCATGAATGATGTAATAATTCTCAGCTCCACTTTCCTGCCTTGTCCCCCGTAATCCTTGATTCCCTTCCTAATTGAAATCTGCCTATCTCAGACTTGAATGTACTTATTAACCCAGCCTCAGCAGCCATCTGTCATAAAGAATTCCATAGATTCACTACCCTCTGCGAAGAGAAATTCCTCCTCACCTCTGTCTTCAATATGTGACCCCTTGTTCTGAGATGATGCCCTAGACTCTCCCACAAGGCAAAACAACCTCCCCATATCTACCTTGTCAAGTCGCTTAAGGATCTTATATGTTTCAATAAGGTCGCCTCTCATTCTTCTATCCCAATCCACTCAATCTCTCCTCATAAGACAGTCCCTTCATAATTGGTATCAGCCTAGTGAACCTTCTCTGGACTGCCTCCAATGCCAGTGGATATTTTTCCTTAGACAGGGAGCTCAAATCTTTTCACAGTATTCCAGCTGTGGTCTGACTAGTGCCTTGAATAGTTTTAGCAAATCTTCCCTACTGTTATGCTCCATTCGCTTTGAAATAGAGGCCAACACTCCATTTGCCATCCCTATTACTTGTTAAATTCGGATGCTTTCTTTTTGTGATTCATGGATGAGGAGTCCCTCTGTTCATAGCTTTCTACAGTCTTTCTCCACATACAGCCAAGTCTCCAGAGCCCCTGTCCTCTGATTGACTTTGCAGTGTGGAAAAAGCAGCTGCTTTCCTTCATCAGGATATGAAAAACTGCCTTGCAGGCAGAATTCAGTAACATACAAAGCATTACCATTAAATGCCTGGATTATTTGATCGAGGGTCTCTAAAGAGATTCCACTGTAACCCTTAGCGAGGACATTGATTCGGAGAGCCAGCAGCATCCGGGTCCTCTTTGGGGACAAGGGATCCCCGACACCTGGGGAAGAAGCAGAGATTTATCTTTCATCTCTCAAACAACTAAAATGGTTAAGGCTCCTTGTAACATGTAGGGGGCATGAAAGAAACCTGGCTGTCTTGATTGAATCTGTCACATCAATGCTCAGAGCAGTGAGGAAAGCAGAGCAGAGACTGGGACATTTTCAAAGGCCTATTTTGAGCTGAAATAGCGATTTCAAAATTTAAAATTTTTGCCACTGTTTAAATTATCAGTGTGACCATACATAGAACACAATGCGTGGTTCAGGTCACCAAATTACAAAGCAAGTTCCACAGCTTTTGAAAGGACACAGAAAGATAAACAAGCATGACTGAGGGGATGGAGGGATTCACCAATAATAAATTGGCATTAAAAGACAAGATTGTTTTGGTGATATTATTGGTGAATTAAGACTCTAAAATGACTAGATGCTGTAGATCACAACAAGCTGTTTCATCTGGCGCAGAACAACAGACTGGAGGACACGGCTTCACACAGGTAAATTGACAGAAACATTAACTCCAATTGCACACTTAACAGAAAAGCTGCTGGCCTCACTGTAAGCTAACCACAAAGATGTATAATTAATGGTAGGGCCTTAGGTAGTGTTGTAAAACAGAGTCAGAAATGAGAGATAATTCCAAAAAGATAAATGTTAGAATTGAATCTATGTGTCTCAGTGGTTCGCACTGCTACCTCATTGCGGCAGGGACTCAAGTTTGATTCTGCCCTCAGGCAACAGTCTGTATGATGTTTGCATGTTCTTCCTGTGTCTGCATGGGTTTCCTCCAGGTACATGTGTCTCCTTTTCTTGTTTTTTTTCACATTTAAGTAGCCAATAAACTCATTCTTTCTATAGCTCAAGAAAACCCAGATATATTTACATGAATCTAGTTTTATTTTAATTAATTTAACACATAAATATATTTGGGCTGGGGATTTTAATCCACAAGGAAATGGATCTTTTCTAAATTAACCTTGTTGCGTCCAACAAAAGGAGGAGATTGAGTTAAGAAGGGGAACAGGCTCATCCCTCCTCACCCAGGGGCAAATTAAAAAGCAAATTAAATAGATTGAATTCAGAAAATAGCCTTTTCTGAGATGGAAAGTGAGTAATTTGAGACAGACTTGGGGTAGATGTAGCAGGCTGTAGAGGAACGTGATTTTGAATCTACAGTTGACAAGTCGTGTCTTGATCTGTTGCAGACAAATTGATAGCAAGAGATTGGAATGATTAGTCAACACCTCCATTGTTAATCTGAGCCCTGTGTTTTTCAGAGTTCCGAAGAAGAGCCATACCAGACTCAAAACATTAACTTTATTTCTTTCACCACAGACGCTGAATTTCTCCCGCAATTTCGGTTGATTTTTTTCCATTCTTATTCCATTAGGCGACTACCAAGTTGGTAATAGATGAATGCAATGGAGCTTGGTTTTACTCATTTAGAAATTCCTGTGTGGGAATTTTGCAGTTGCTTTCATCCCTCCAATGAAACAGTGTGAACAGACTTTGCTTTCAACAAAACTACTTTAACAAAGGTTCACCATATCACCTGATAAATTTAAGTTATGCTTCATTGATAATATTTTAAAGCAGTGAAGGCTGAGCAACATCAGGAAAGAGAGAAAAGAGCCACTTGCAAGTTTACAGTCTTAGCAAAATGTGGAATAAACAGAATGGCAATCAATTACCCTTTGTATGGTATGATCAGCCTGTACCGCACACAAAACAAAACTTTTCACTGTAGCCAGGTGACAATAATAAATCAAATCAAATATTTCTTACCTACTGCTGCAGAGAGGATAACATTCTCCTGTAGCTGTCTGTGAAAATAAAAGGCTTTAATAATGAAGAGAGCAATGGGATACAATCAAAAGTAGCATCACTTTAGAATATACTCACTTGAGTTTCTCGTGGGGGATAACAGTCCTGGCAAATTTCCCGAAACCTGTGTTTATTCCATACTCCACTGTAAATTAAAACACTATGGCTAATGGCATCTATAATGAACACAGGTTAAGTTGCTTCATAAGTTGATTATCTGATAATTTCATACACTGGATGGCAGGAGGTGCATCAAAATTCATGTCAATTTGTCACACAAATGTTTTTAACTGAAGTAATATGTCACCTTGTCCTTTATTGATGATTTTTTCCACAAGGTCCCTCGATTCATTGACCCTCCTTTCTGCTTCTGAGGTAAGCTAAAAGATATAGGCACTTGTGTAATGACATGTTGTGGCATGTTTTGTACACCACTTGAAACGGGAGTGGATTTCTAACTCACCTTGATTTTGTAGCATGCTTCACCAAGCTGAACAAGCTGTTTTGTCGTTAAGCTATTTCCATCGAGGTAAATGTACTTTATACAAAGAGGGAAAGATCAGTCAAAAGATGAACTGGAATCTGCTGTTCGAGACAAGTTATTATTGTTCTAGATTTGACTTCATCATAATTATCCTCTCGCAGTTACTTCATATAAACTGGTTTTGCGTTATAAGGAGAGACTGGATAGGCTGGGATTTTTTTCACTGGAGTGTAGGAGGTTGAGGGGTGACCTCACAGAGGTTTAGAAAATCATGACAGACATAGATAAGGTGAATAGCCAAGGTCTTTTCCCCAGGGTAGGGGAGTCCAAAACTATGGAGTATATGGTTTAAGATGAGAGAAGAAAGATTTAAAAGGGACCCGAGGGGCAACGTTTTCACACAGGGGGTGGTCCATATGTGGAATGACCTACCAGAGGAAGTGGCAGATGCAGGTACAGTTACAATGTTTAAAAGACATTTGGACAAGTGCATGAATAGGGAAGGTTTAAGAGGGATATGGGCCAAATGCAGGCAAATGGGACTAGTTTTGTTTGGGAAACTTGGTCGGCACTATAGGGCCTGTTTCCGTGCTGTGTGACTCTATGATTCTACGCTTACAGAGTCATTTACCATATTGTTGTGACAGCGACACTGGACTAGTAATCATACAACACCAAGCTAATGCTCTGTGGATGTGAATCCCACTATGGCAGATGGAGAAATTTGAATTCGATTTAAAAATCTGGAATTAAAAAGCTAACCTAATGGTACGTTACTGTCAATTGTTGTAAAAACTGACGTAGATCACTAATGTCCTTTAGGGAAGGAAATCTGCCATCCTTACACAGTCTGGTCTATATGTGACTCCAGACCAACAGCAATGTGATTCGCTCTTAACTGCCCTCTGAAATATTAAGCTATTCAAATCATAGGGCACTTAGGGATGAGCAATAAATGCTGGCTCAGCCAGTGACGCCCATGTTCAATGAATGAATTAATACACCATTACTATATGTTACTGTTTACACCACAATCTCAAACAGGCACATGTTTAAAGGTGGAATTCAAATGCCAGACCTGCCCTCACTCACCTGCTGAGTCCCTTGATGTTGTCTGTATTTAGTTGTTAAGAATATACACATCAAATCATCAGTCTCGCTATCTACAATCTATACTCATGACTTAAACAAACAGAACATTTTATATAAATATGAATATGGGCAAGCACATGCAGGTAGTTTGGGATTATGGTCAGCATGGACTGGTTGGACCAAAGGGTCTGTTTCTGTGCTGTATGACACTATGACTCTATAACACGAGTAATGTATCTAAGTTGACTGAAACAAGGCTTTTGAAGAGGAAATAGAGAGGCTGCAAAGGAATATAGATAGGTTAAGTGAGTGGACAGAAAATTGGCAGATGGAGTGGGGAAATTTGGGGAAATATGAAGCGACTAACTTTGGTGTTAAGTTTAGAAAAGGAGAATTTTTAAAAAAATGTAAAGCCTGCAAATGGTGATGTTCAGAGAAACTTGGGTGAACTCATAAAAGCTTCCAGATATAGTAAAGCAACAAGGAAGACAAATATCATGTTTGCCCATTTATTATGAAGGGATTGGAGTGCAAGAATGAAAAGGTTTTGCTACAACTGTACAGGACATTGGTGAGACCACACCTGGACAGATGTTCCATATCCAGTTTCATTTGAGCCCTTTTTCATGGGAGCTTGATCAGCAGCGAGGGTGTCTTCCTGGAGACTCCATTCAGTACTAATTACTAGCTCACATCACCTATTTTCCATGGAATCTGCAATCCTTTTTTTTGGAACATCAACATCTTGTCATCCTTAAGTCTAATGCAGATTGATTTATGCTCCCTAACGTTTTAACCAATCTGTTCCACATGCTGTTGCATTGGGAACAACCCCTATGTAACATTACACAATTAACTGGACTGTGCACTAGTTTAATTGGATAGATATTTTAAAGATGCAATGAGCTGAATAGATTCATTCTCTGCTGAATCATTCAATGATTCCACGAGGTGATTCATGCATGAAAATTACATTTGTCACACAAGACATGTTCAATGCATGGAACTAATACTTGGATAGAATAGTGGTTACTTAAATGAAGCAATGAAATGTTAAAATGAGAGACTTGGGGGCGCTTTCCACATGGGCCAAGTGGCCTTCCACTTTTCGATAATCTGATGATTTATATGATTGCAAGAATCGAAATAATATCAGACAAACAAACCCCTTAAAAATGAAGACACTGAGTGAAAGAGACTTTTATATCAATTACTGTCAAGTGCAACTTCTAAGAAAAACAGGAGCAAAGAAAAGCAAGCCAAACCCCACAGTTAAACATCCGGAGGGGGTTTCCCTAAATGTTCGAAAGAAAGCCAATGGAAAGGATACTGAGAGGCCATGTCAGACGTCAGTGGATCAGGTTCATCAGTGTCCCCTTGGATAACTGTGATGGAGAAGTTTAGAATACACAATTAATGATGGTAAAACCTGTTTGACTGTTGCCACGTGCATATGCTAATGATATGACGATGTACTCTGACATTATACAGTCACATGCTATTGATACTCTAAGAGGAATGGAACTGTGGTGGAGGGCTGGAAAACAGAGTCTTCACTATGATAGCAAGAACTGCAGATGCTGGAGTCAGAGGTAACACAGTGTGGAGCTGGAGGAACACAGCAGGCCAGGCAGCATCAGAGGAGCAGGAAAGCTGACATTTAGTTTGTAAATAAAAGGGTTTGCAGGAACTCCTGGGAGTCAGGTAACAGTTATTCTTTTATAAGGCAGGGACACAGATGCAGCAGAATTGGTGTAGGGCCAGTCCAGAAAAAGACAGGACTGAGCAGTGTGGGGCTGAACCCAGATATCAGGACCTCAGGGTGGGCACAATGAGTGAAGGCTCAAGACATGGGCTTGTATCCATGGTATCAGTAAACTCCATGGAGGCGAACGCGTAAAATGCTACAACAATTTCTTTTAATCTGAGAAAGTACATGGAATTACCAAATGTCCAAGCTCAGTTATTCTGAAGTGGTGACTGAAAGGAGAACCTTAACGTTTGTTGTGTCATGGAATTACTTACCAATCTGGATGAAATCATTGTTTTCTAGGACATCCCTGATAGTGTCCCCAGGATCCAGCAGACCCAGTCCCTGACAGCGTCTCACTGAGAACTTCACATCATCTATGCAGTGCAGGTCACCACAGTACACTTCTCTCTCTCTGTAGCGTGTCAGAGCCTCTTGTCCCAACCAGTGAATATTAAGGGAAGGGTCTTTACAGGGAATGATCATCCACTTCTGCCTCACACAGACAGTGAAACAAAGCATTTCTACAACGATTGTCAGAGTTCCTGGGCAGGATTTTCAAATATATCCCAACTATAATTTATAAAGGCTTCTGTCAATGAATAAATATCTTAAAAATGATCAGTTTTTGCTGTAAAATCTAAAACTTTACTAATGACTTCAAATATTAATTCTCATTTAAACTGTCAACAAGTGTTGGACAGAATCAGTGAAAGAACTAGTTTGGCTTTAATTTATTCTGAATTGGGTTAAAACCTAATTTATTATATTTTGGGTGTTATCATTGACAGAGCGACTGGGACATAGCTTAAAATGACACAAGCAGAAGTCTTTTGGTTGCTTCTGTTCCATGTTTATCCAATGAGAGGCTATAATATGTGGTATATGAATGCTAGAACCAGGTGAGGAGGGCCAATATGCTCCCGTCTTTTTAACCCTTTCTTCGTCAGTTGCACAAAAAAAAACTTCCCAGCACACAGCTATCATTTCAATTAAAACATAAGATAAAAATGAAGGAGAAAAGTATGAGGTTTACTTGCGTGGAGGAATTTTATAATTCAGTAACCCTAAAAAAAACTAAAAATACAGCGTTAAACACATTCACATGTAAATACAGGCAGTAAGTTTAAAAACAAGAATGTGACTTCTACGGGTAGGAGAAAGAGTCTACGCAGTTTATAAAAAGTCTTTGCTCTGTTAGATTTTAAACCTGGTGCTTGTTGACTTGTATTCTGTAACAGTGCTGACGTCTGTAGATTTTGACTTCTTCCTGAATGGTTGTTGTTCCAGGTTGCTTTTTTAGCAGACGCTGACTTCAAGCTTGAAAGAGACAGGACAGAGGCTCGCAGTGTCTTGGCTGTTATCAGTACATATTTCCTCCTCTCTCTGCTTTGCTGCTCAATTATATAATCTTGCTCCTGTCTCTCCAACCTGCAGGTATAATCTGCAGAACACCTACGCTCGGTTCGCAATAAACAACTGCACCTCCCAGTCGCGAACCATTTCAACTCCCCCTCCCATTCCTCAGACGACATGTCCATCCTGGGCCTCCTGCAGTGCCACAACGATGCCACCCAAAGGTCGGAGGAACAGCAACTCATATTCCGCTTGGGAACCCTGCAGCCCAATGGTATCAATGTGGATTTCACAAGTTTCAAAATCTCCCCTCCCCCTACCGCATCCCAAAACCAGTCCAGCTCGTCCCTGCCTCCCTAACCTGTTCTTCCTCCCACCTATCCCCTCCTCCCACCTCAAGCCACACCTTCATCTCCTACCGACCAACCTCATCCCACCCCCTTGACCTGTCCGTCCTCCCTGGACTGACCTATCCCCTTCCTAACTCCCTACCTACACTCACCTTTACTGGCTCCGTCCCCGCCTCTTCGACCAGTTTGTTTCCTCTCCACCTATCCTCTCCTCTATCCCTCTTCTATCCGCCTCCCACTCTCTCCCTATTTATTTCGGAACCCCCTTCCCCTCCCCCTTTTCTGATGAAGTGTCTAGGCCCGAAACGTCAGCCTCTCTGCTCCTATGATGCTGCTTGGCCTGCTGTGTTCATCCAGCCCTGCACCTTGTTGTCTCGGATTCTCCAGCATCTGCAGTTCCTACTATCTCTGAGTAGGAAGATGGACAGGTTAGAGGTGGTCAGGGAGGTGAGGAGGAAGGGGGATGGATGGACATGGGATAAGGCTCGGGGTGGAGGGATTTTGATGCTGGTGAAGTCAATATTGAGGCCACTGGGCTGTAAATTCCCAAGGTGAAATATCAGGTGTTGTTCCTCCAGTTTACATTTGGCCTCACTCTGGAGGTGGAGGTGGTCAAGGATGGACGTGTCGTCAGGGGAGTGGGAGGGAGAATTCAAGTGGGTGGCAACAGGAAGGTCGGGTTGGTCAGCGCGTGCAGAGTGCAGATGTTCCGCGAACCAGTCCCCGAATCTGCGTCTACCCTCAAATCCCACCCCCATCAACAATAAGGATAGAATCCCCTCAGTCCTCACGTACTACCCCACCAAATTCCAAATCCAATGCATCAGCCTGATATTTCCAACATCTACAATCAAACCCCACCACCAAAAAGATGTTTCCCTTCCCTACCCCGTCCGCTTTCCGCAGGGACCGTTCATTCCGTGACTCCCTCGTCAGCTCAACACTTCCTACCAACCCCTCCATCACACCCAGTACCTTTCCCTGCAACCACCAGAGGTGCAATACCTGTCCTTACATGTCCCCTCTCACCTCCGTCCAGGGCCCAAACAATCCTGCCAGAACCAGCAGAGATTCACCTGCACTTCATCCAACCTGATCTATTGTATCTGTTGCTCCCAATGTGGTCTCCTCTATATCGGGGAGACTGCGCTCTGCAAGCGCCAACAAACCTGACCTTCCGGTTGCCATCCATTTTACTTCCTCCTCCCACTCCCCCTGGCGACATGTCCATCCTTGGCCTTCACTTATCCCATGTCCAGACCACCCCTTCCTCCTTGCCTCCCTGACTTGACCCAACCTGTCCATCTTCCTACCACAATGACCCCTTACCATTCCCCCAGCCACACCTCCCCTTGCTCTATTTACATCTGTGCTCTCTTCCCCCTCTCCAGTTCTGACTGAGTGTTTCGGCCCGAAACGTTGACTTTCTTGCTCCTTGAATGCTATCATCAGCTCAACTTTGGGCCCTTTTCATAATACGAGTTTATAAGTAGTGCTTAAAGTCATAGAATCATAGAGTAATACAGCATGGAAACAGGCCCTTTGGACCAAACTGGTCCATGCTGAGAATGGTGCCCATTCAGCTTGTTCCAACTGCCCACATTTGGTCCATATTCCTGTAAACCCTTTCATCCATCTACCTATCCAAATGTTATATAAATGTTGCCACTGTACCTGCTTCAACCACTTTCTCTGGCAGCTCATTCCATATACGCACCACTCTCTGCGTGAAGACGTTACCCCTCAGGTCCTTCTTAAATCTATCCCCTCTCACCTTAAACCAATGACCTCTAGTTTTCAATTCCCAATCCCTGGGAAAAAGACTATATGCATTCAGCCTATCTATGCCCCTCATGATTTTATACACCTCAATAAGGTCAACCCTCATTCTCCAACGTTCCAAGGAATAAAGTCCTATCCTGGCCAACGTCTCCCTATAACTCAGGCCTACTAGTCCTGGCAACATCCTTGTAAATCTTCTTTGCACACTTTCCAGTTTAACTATGCTTTTCCTATAACAGGGTGACCAAAACTGTACACAATACTCCAAGTGCAGCTTCACCAACAACTAATTCAACTGTAATATAACGCTCCAACTCATATACTCAATGCCTTGACCGATAAAAGCCAGCATGCTAAATGCCTTCTTCACCACCCCGTCCACCTGGGACGCCACTTTCAACGAACTATGTACTTGTATTCCTAGGTCCCTCCGTTCCACAACACTCCTCAGGACTTCACCATTTACTGTATATCATAGATTATAGAATCCCTACAATGTGGAAACAGGCCATTTGGCCCAACAAGTCCACACTGCCTCTCCAAACAGCACCTCACCCAGACCCATTCCCCTAATTTCCCATGTCTAACCCACCTAACCTAAACATCCCTGGACACTATGGGCAATTTAGCATGACCAATCCACCTACCCTGCACATCTTTGGACTGTGGGAGGAAACCCACGCAGACACAGGGAGAATGTGCAAACTCCACACAGACAGTCGCCCAAGGCTGGAATCGAAGTATAAATATAATGTATAAATCCTACCTTGGTTTGACTTTCCAAAATACAAGGTATTCAATACACCTTATCTGTATTGAATTGCATTTGCCAATCCTCAGCCCAATTCCCCATCTGATCAAGATCCCTCTAATCTTTGATAGCCTTCCTCGCTATCAACGATAGCGCCTAATTTTGTTTCATCCACAAACTTAATAATCATGCCTTGTACATTCACATCCAGATCATTTACGTAAATAACAAATAACAAACGTCCCAGCACCGACCCCTGTGGCACACCACTAGTCACAGGCCTCCAGTCTGAGAAACAACCTTCAACCATCACCCTCTGCTTCCTACCATCGAGCCAATTTTGAATCCAATTAAGAGATAACAAGGTGTAGAGCTGGATGAACACAGCAGGCCAAGCAGCATCAGAGGAGCAGGAAGGCTGACGTTTCGGGCCTAGACCCTTTGAATCCAATTAGCTAGCTTTCTCTGGATCCCATGGGACCTAATTTTCATGAGTAGTCTGTCGTGTGGGATCTTGTCAAAGGCCTTACTAAAATCCATATAGACAACATCCACAGCCCTACCCCCGTCCACCCTCTTGGTTACCTCTTTGAAAAACTCAGATTTTTCAGACATGATTTCCTGAGATAAATCCATGCTGCTATCTCTAATCAGACCTTGACTATTCAAATATTGGTTGATCATGTCCCTTAGTATCCTCTGTAATAACTTGCCTACCACTGATGTCAGGCTCACTGGCCTGTAGTTCCCTGGCTTGTCTTTGCTACCTTTCTTAAACAATGGAACAACATTAGGCACCTTCCAGTCTTCCGGAACTTCACCAGTGGCTAAAGATGAAGCAAAAACCTCTGCAATTTCTTCCCTAGCTTCCCACAACATCCGAGGATGCACTTGATCAGGCCCAGGGGATTTATCCACCTTAATGTACTTTAAGGCTGCAAACACCTCCTCTCTGGTAATGTGTATGCGGTCCAAAACAGCCCCACTTGTTTCCCTTATTTGCTTAGCATCCATGATTCTTTCTTTAGTAAACACGAAGGAGAAATATTCATTAAAAATCTCCTCCATCTCCTGTGGCTCTACACATGCTGATCTTTAAGGGGACCTATTCTCTCCTTAGCCATTCTTTTACTATTAATATAGCTATAAAATCTCTTGGGATTATCTTTAACCTTACCTACCAGATCAACCTCATACCCTCTTTTTGCTCTTCTGATTTCCCTCTTGAGGGTGCTCCTACATTTTTATAGTCATCTAGGGATTCACTTGAGCCCAATAGCTTAAACCCAATGTATGCCTTCTTCTTTTAAGCCTCAATACCCCTCGTCAGCCAGGGATCCCTAAACCTGCCAGCTTTTCCCTTTACCCTAACGGGGACATACTGTCCCTGGACTCTTGATATCACACTTATAAAAGCCTCCCATTTGCCAGTTGTTCCTTTCTCTTCAAATAGACTCAGTCAATCGACCTCTGCTAGATCCTGCCTAATGGCCCCAAAATTGGCCCTGCTCCAGTTTAGCATCTTAACCTGTAGGCTTGTCCTATCTTTTTACGTAACTGTTAAAATTAAGAGTGTTATGGTCACTGGACCCAAAATGCTCTCCAAATTACACTTCAGTCACTTGCCCGATCTCGTTTCCGAAGAGGCGGTCCAGTGTTACACCCTCCCGAGTAGGGCCCTCTACATATTGATTTAGGAAACTTTCTTCAACACATTTGACAAATTCCACCCTGAGATCACCAAGCTACCTCTGATCAAGATGGCCATAATCAAAATGAAGTGAAAATGACAAATGAACCTGCAAATCATATAAAATGGAAGTTTCACCCCTCAGGTAGAGGGGACCTCAGCAGCATGCACCATTTTACTATGTACACTTCAACATGTAAGAGTATATTTGTTTAAATGAAATTTGAATTGTGTAATTTTGCACCTATGGTGATAGGTTCCATCAGTAACAACGTCAACAGAAGTCGTTCTGGTCATTGAATAATTCTGATTTTCAGATCTCAGAGACAATATGCAGAAATTTTCCAAAGTAAGCAAACAGCACAGCCTTTTAGTTGTGCATTTTACACTAGGACCACATCTTGAGAAGCGAATGAATTTAAGGGAACGGATAATTAGATAATGTTTAATTTTGAAGTAATTTGGAGGAAAGAGCACAGATTTAGTTTATAAAGGTGAACAGAACGTTTTTTTTTGCCAAAAACCATTTAAATTGGCGGCATGGTGGCTCAGTGGTTAGCATTGCTGCAGCCTCAGAGCCATGGACCCAGATTCGATTCCACCTTAGGCGACTGTCTGTGTGGAGTTTCCACGTTCCCCCCATGTCTTGTGGGTTTCCGCCAGGTACTCCGGTTTCCTCTCATAGTCCAAAGATGTGCAGGTTAGGTGGACTGGCCATGCTAAATTGCCCATAGTGCTCAGGGATGAGTAGGTTAGGTGTGTTGGCCTTGGGAAATGCAGGGTTACAGGGAAAGGGTAGGGGGATGAGTCTGGATGGGATGCTCTTTGGAGGTTCGGTGTGGACTCATTGGACCGAATGGCCTGTTTCCACACTACAGAGATTCTATATCTATACTAGCAACACAAGCACATGCAAATATGGTTTCAGTTTGTCTGATATTTTCAGGACAGGGATTCCCAAGAAAGCAGTCCAGCACCCCAACTCCATAAAATCTGACCAATTTAAATAAAAGATAAGCAAGGCAGTTGACGATGAAGGATATGCAGTTGTCCTTATTGCCAAAAATTACAGTAGAAATTATTAGTGCAATTTAGTGAAAAATCACCCCAAACTTCAGTTTAAAATTGTTGAGGTGACATGCTGCTGATTACACTATATTCACAACACACATCTCAAAAGGAACTGTGGGTTAGTGGGGGATCAAAGACAAGTCAAATTATGTTTTGAGTTTCCTTCCTCAGAACACCAAGCTACTTTTGATCAAGATGGCCATAATCAAAATGAAGTGAAAATGACAAATGAACCTGCAAATCATATAAAATGGAAGTTTCACCCTCAGGTAGAGAGGACCTCAGCAGCATGCACCATTTTACTGTGTAAACTTCAACATGCAAGAGTATATTTGTTTAAATTGGCTCAGTAATTTCTAAAATGATTTCTTAAATTCAGTGATCAAAGGTTTTCAATTTAATGTAGGAAATTTTAAAATTTGACAAATTATAGAATTTTGAATTGTTTTTGGTGTGAACCATCTTTCCATTTTGTAAACAAAGTGCTAGCCTTTTTCCATGATTATTCACATATGTTCTATAATATTAAGTGAATATAGTTGTGATTAAATGCTGAAATTCCACTCAGTTTTAGAACTGTTAACCCATTTGCATGCCATGGCTTAACTTCAGAAATCATACTGAAATAAGGAAGAAGAGACTCACTGTGGTGTGAATGGTGGAATTCCAGGAGAATGGAACCAGGTATTCCAGTCAACTTTATTCAAAATCTCAGTCTAGTGAAAATTAAATATTTCAATGAAATAGTGCTGCAAAACATGTTTATTGTTCAATGTAAAACAAATATCCACCTGCTTCTCTTTCAGGATTGGAGTGGGAAGGATTTGATGTGAGAGTAAGAGATGGTGGCTGAAGGGTTCAAGAGAGAACAGTGCTTGGCAGTGCGTTATGGAAGGTTCAAGAAGTTGGGGCACGTTCACATGTTATGCTGCTTGGCAGTAAGAAAACAATGCCTCCTCCTGGCCCATAAGTTGTGCTGTAAAGGCACTTAGCTAGTGGATCCAGCTCTTCTCATTTTCCACTTGCTAGATTTCTGAAGGTGCTGAACTCCCAAGCACATGTTAAAGATAGAATCCTCTTTTTAGTAAGGCCTCCCCTATTTTTATATGCCATTCCCTTTGAAACAAGGCCAACACTCAATTTGCCTTCCCTGTTAACTACTGAAATGTATACTAACGTTTTGAGGTTTATGGTCAAGGACTGCCAAATACCTCTACTATGGCTTTCTACAGTCTCTCTCCATTTAAATAACATTCTTCTATTCTTCCTGACAAAGTGCATAACCTCACATTTTCCACATAATATTCCATCTGCCCACTCACTTAACCTGTCAAAATCCCTCTGTAGATGATGTCCTCACTACTTGCTTTCCCACCTATTTTTGCATCATTTGCAAACTTGCCTTTATTCCATTAACTTTCCTCATCCAAGTCGTCAATATATATTGTAAATGATGGTAGCCCCAGCACAGATTCTGTAGCATCCCACGAGTTACAGGTTCCAATCCTGAAAATGGTTCCCTTATCCCAACTCTGTCTTTGATTAGTTAGCAATCCTCTATCTATGCTAATACACAACATTCATGGGCTCTTATCTTCAGCAGCTTAACATGTAGTAGCTTATCAAATGCTTTCTAACAATCTAAATATATTATATTTAGATGAGGAGAAATTTCAACACCCAGCCAGTGGTGACGCTATTGAATTCTCTGCCACATGCTTCAAGGAGGAATTAGATATAGTTCTTAGGGTTAAAGGAATTAAAGGGAATGAGAAGAAAGCAGGAACAAGGGACTGAGTTGGATGTTCATCCATGATCAGAGTGAATGGCAAAGCAAGCTCAAGGACTTAAAAGTCTACTCCTGCTTTATTTTCTACATTTAAAAATATTAGCTAGAGATGCTGCATTTAAGATGGTCAGGTAGTTTCTATGACAGCAATTTTGTTAAGTTAAACTTGGGTAGGTTATTCTGTCATTATGACGTAGCTTGGACCATTCCATGGTGCAAAGCTACTTTGCGGAAGACGGACAAATGGAACCCAACATATTACCTGAGGCACCACTGTTTTCTTTTAAGCACGTGTATACATATATGAAATTAACAGCGAAAACTACAAAACAAATCTCAAGACTTGCATCTATAAACTGAAAAATTCAGATACATATTTTACTGGGATTATTGACGAGATGCAAGAAGGCCCAAATTAAAACAATGACTAAATCAAATATTATTACATTATTGATCTAAACGCACTCACTTTATCACTAAAATATGTATACAGGCATTTCTTCCAGTCCTCCGTGGTTACACTGCTGTAGGCAAATGTTTGAATATAAGCTTTGAGGAACCCCATGAAGATATCTAGCATCAAGATCAAAAAAAAATTCTTCAGTTTAACAAATCCACAGGCTTTCAAAGCAAAACTTATAAATCTGAATAATTGGTTTTGTACAGGGCTTCCCAAACTGCAGGTCATGACTCCTAGTCGAGTTGGAGGGCAAGAATTTGGGATTGCAAGCTCTGAAGCAGCACTGACTGCAGTGGAACTTGGGCTGATCCTAACAGTTCTGTTGCTCCTATAAAAAGCTCACTCTTTTTTCGAAAAGATGAAAAGGTACGTGCTCATTTTTCCTGCATTTTCATCAACTGCCCCATGAGGGAGATGGGAAAAGGGTGTGGGGGTGAAGGAGGGGGCTGGTAAAGGGAAGGGAATAATGTGGGAGGTTGGTAAAGTGAGGGGCTGAAGGGGTCAATGGAGGATTTTGGTGAAAGGAGGGAGAAGGAGGTGGGAGGCATTTGTTGAAGGGAGGATGTGATGGGAGGAGGCACACAACATTTTTCACCTCTGCTGCTCCAGAAGTACTGCCCAATTCACTTTAACAGTCCAAGATATCCCTTCAACAACACCAGGGTTCCATAAGTTTTCAGCCTGGGTCAAATAAACTGAGGTGTAGAAATGGGGGTCTCACAAATTCTGAGATATGGAAATGATGTCACACCAGAAAAAAAAAAAAAAAAAAAATCTGTGAAGCGTAGTAGCCTTGCATCTCAAACAATAATGAGACAGACAGCTTAGTGGCATGGTGTAAAGTCAACAATCTCTCGGCTGGTCATCGACTTTAGGTAGTGGGGTGGAGGACGCACCTGTTTGTATCGATGGTGCTGAGGTGGAGGTGGTCGAGAGCTTCAAGTTCCTAGCAGTGAATATCACCAACAATCTATCCTGGTACATTCACACTGACACCACAATTGAGAAAGCACACCACCACTCTACGTCCTCAGAAGGCTAAGGAAATTCGCCATGTCCACAATGACTCTTACCAATTTTTATAGCTGCATCACAGAAAGCAACCAATCTGGATGTGTCACAGCTTCGTTTGGAAACTGTTTTGCTCAAGACCACAGGAAATTATAGAGAGTTGTGAAAGCAGCCCAGTCAATGACAAAAACCAGCCTTCCCTCCATTGACACTGTCTATACTTTCTGCTGCCTTGGGAAAGCACCCAATATAATCAAGGACCCCACCCACCCTGGTTATACTCCCTTCCACCCTCTTCCATCAGGCAGAAGATACATAAGTTTGAAAACACGTACTAACGGATTTAAGAACAGATTCTTCCCCACAGTTATCAGACTTTATGAATGGACCTCTCATATTTGAGTTGATCTTTCTCTGCACCATCTCTGTAGCTTAACACTATTTTCTGCATTCTGTTCTATTACCCTGACATACTTATGTAGGGAATGATTTCTCTGGTTAGAATGCAAAACAATACTTTTAACTGTATCTCGATACATGTGGCAATAATAAACCAAATCAAAATGTAGCATTTACCTGGTCCTCCAAGCTGTTCCTCCAAATGATAAAGTAAAGCGAATCCCTTTTCATATGGCACAGATGAAAATGCATCATCAGGGTCAGTATCACACAGCCTGGGGACCAGACTGGTCAGGAGATTAGTAGCACCAAATGTCTCAATCTAACAAAAAGCATGAATTTAAATTAGATATGTTTCTGAAAAGACACTACCTATTACCGAGATCAGAAATAAAAAGAGAATAATAGAACTAGCGAACCAAGCAGCATCTGCAGAGAGAAACAAAAGTCAATTCCGAGGTCAGGGTGAAAGTCTTTTTCATGAGGGAATTTGTGATATCACTTTCCTCTCTGTTGGTTTATGAATGAGTTTAAAATAGTTATTAAAATGCAAGTTTTTCCAAGTAAAAAGTATGTAATTATGTATTAAAGAAAACCCTTTCTGACATACAGTTTTAATCTTCAACTGCAGTGTCCTAGAGTAAGTGATCCTACTGCTACATTGAGAAAAGGTGCTTTTTTTGACGTAGGTCTCAAAGGCTGCTGCGTAAGATCAAAGATAGTCACATTCCATTCAAACATTATTCAAACCAACGGCTTTCCTCTAACATTGCTGTTGGTGGAGCAACCATCTTCCCAAGATATTTGTTACAATTCAGGCTTCGGGTTAACAAATTTGCCTTGCCTTCAAGGCAAAGCGATTGCTTTGATTAAAAGATGGAATCTGTAAATAAAAACAGTGGTCTTCCATGTAATTGATAATCTGCCCAGAGTTAACATTCAACTCCAAATTTCAGCACTTCTGGAGACCAGGTGGGATACCGATTAAATTCTGCTAAATATTTCTGAACATATAGGAAGTAAAGGTCAGAAAACTAAATCTGGGTTATTGACTTAGAATTAATGCTGATTATAGGTACACAGGATGAATGTAGAGAAGCTGTGAAACATAAAGTAAATGTACTTTAAAAACATGTATATGAAAGTAGTTTTCACTGGATCAAAAAATCCTTTGTGGCCATTCCTTCATAGCTTTATTAGCATGTGGATTTCTGGATAGAATAATCCTTTACAGATCTGCACAGTTTGACTGATTGATTGATTTATTGTCACATGTACCGAAATACAGTGAAAAGCTTTGTTTACGAGTGGTACAGGCAGATCACAGTAAGCAAAGGATGTATAGATTAAACAGGGTTCAAGGCATACAGGTTACACCATTTAAGGCTAGAGTCCATTCAATAGTCTGATAGCGGCCGGAAAGAAGCTGTTCCTGAAGCTGCTTGTGTGTGTGTTCAGGCTTCTGCATCTTCCAGGTGAAGCAACACTTCACCTGCACTTTCCAGAATCTAGTCTACTGCATTCGCTGCTCACAATGTGGTCTCCTCTACATTGGGGAAACGAAGCATAGACTTGGCGACTGCTTCGCTGAACATCTATGTTCTGCTCGCAAAAAAAAAGACCCTGAACTATCTGTTGCCTGCCACTTCAACGCACCACCCTGCTCCCTGGCCAACATCTCTGTCTCTAGCTTGCTGCAGTGTTCCAGCGAAGCCCAACACAAGCTGGAAGAACAACACCTCACTTTCCACTTGGGGACCCTACAGCCCCAAAACTCAATACTGAATTCAATAATTTTAGGGCCTAAACTCTCCCATGTCCCAGCCCCCTACCCCACACACCATGCCTTGTTATCACATAGCCTGCAATTACACACTGCCAGTTGTTAGTCACTAACAGTCCCCACTAACAACTATTCACCCTCCCAGCCTGATCGTTAGCAATTCCTTTGTCTGTCCAACTGTCTTTCTCTCTCTTTGGGCTCTATCCTATCATTTACTCCCTACCTCACCCACCTCCCTATTTTCTGTATATAAACTGACATTTTCCCAGCCACCAGCAGTTCTGAGGAAGGGTCACCGGACCCGAAACGTTAACTCTGTTTTCTCCTTCACAGATGCTGCCAGACCTGCTGAGCTTCTCCAGCAACTTTGTTTTTGTTCTGCATCTTCTGCCTGATGGAAGAGGTTGTAGGAGGTCATTACCAGGGTTCAATGGGTCTTTGATGATCTTGGCCTCCTTTCTGCAGCAGTGAGCCACGTAAATAGAGTCCATGGATGGGAAGCTGGCTTCTGTGATGTTCTGGGTTGCACACACCACCTTCCGCAGTTTCTTATGGTCCTGCATCCGGACAGTATGCTTTCAATGGTGCATCCGTAGAAGTTAGTGAGGGACCTTATGGACATACCAAATTTCCTGATCCGCCTGAGGAAGAGGAGGTATTGTTGTGCCTTCTTGATTGTTACATTTATGTGGGAAGTCCAGGACTGGGAGTTGGTTATCATCACTCCGAAGAACTTGATGCTCTTCACTCTCAAACTTAGTTCCATTGATGTAGATGGGGGCGAGTTCTTCTTTCTTTCTGAAGTTGATGATTAGTTCTTTAGCTTGCCGACATTGAGAGAGAGATTATTTTCACTGCACCACGTCACCATGCCCTCTATCTCCCTTCTGTAGTTTGACTTGTCATTGTTAGATATCTGTCCCACAATGGTGGTGTCACCAGCAAACTTGTAGATGGCGTTCGTTCAGTATTTGGCAACACAGTCGTAGGTGTACAGGGAGTACAGTAGGGGGCTGAAAATGGATCCTTTGATAGCAAATGTCAAAGATGCAAATCTCAGCAGGTCTCCAGAATTTAGATCTCTAGCAGAAGTAAAGACCAATAACTTCCTGGTATGTAATTAGTGAAAGGCTTAACTACACATCCTATCTAATTAAAAATACAAGGTGTAAAACCAACCCATTTAATACCAAGCAGGTGCTCACACACACTGATTTGAGAATCTATTAGCAAGAGAAATAAAGTCTCCATATCATGACTACTTTCTAGACTAATCTTTCAACCTCCATTGATATTTTAACAAGATACCTTCCTCAATTTTAGCTTTTCAGTGAAGTAGGAGATAGAATATCCCAGACATACTCTGGACTGAATTCCTTGTGGGGCATTTTGCTGATGCTGTTCAGAAGGCTTTAAACTAAATCAGCAAGGGTGTGGGATCAAAAGACAATATTAGAGTAGAATCTCAGGGTGCACTAAATATTTGGAGACACACATAGCTCTAGTATAGTCAACTGGTGGAGTTGGAGCAAGGGGGTGAAATGATGAAGTCTAAATCAGCATTACTGTGCATATATGTGAATTGACACAGTAAACAAAATTGGGGAATAACAAGCACAGATTGCCATGTGGAAATATGATATTATAGTGACACAACAGTGCTGGATCAAGGAAGGGCAGGTGTAGGTGTTAAATATTCCTGATACAAGGTATTTAGGTAAGATGGGAAAGGAAGGAAAGGAGGGGTGGTGGTAACAGTGAAGGATAGCATTGTGGTGCTGGAGAATAAGGATGTCCCAGAGAGTTCGTGGACAGAAGCAATTTGGACAGAGCTGAGAAAAGAAAGGTACAATTATATTGCAAGATGTAGTGGCAGACCATCAATTGACAGAAAGTACGTAGAGGTCAAATATGAGAGATGCAAACACTATATTAGTTATATTGGAGAGCTTTACCCAAATGTAGACTGGACTGTGGTAGCTTAAAGGACAAACATTCCTAGAGTGTGTTCAGGAAAACTTTCTGCAGCTGTATATGCCCAGTCCAAGAAGAAAGAATGCATATTGGACCTGGCTCTTGGAAACGAGATGGACCACATGGATCAAGTGTCAATGGGGGAACATTTAGGAGACAATGATTATTATGTTGTAAGGTTTAAGATAACAATCAAAAAGGACAATCTAGGTAATCCAGAGTAAGAATAGTTAGCCTGGGGAGAACTAACTTCAATGAGGCAAGAACAGAAAAGGGCCAACAAGAATGGAACAAAGGATTAAAGGGAAAATCTGTGGCTGATGAATAAGCTACCCTAAAAGAAAACAGTTCAAGCACAGTCAAGGTGTATTTCCTCAAAAATAAAAGTTAGGGCAAACAAATCCAGGGCTTATTGGGTGAAAAAAAGAGATAGAAGTTAAAATAACGTAGTAAAAGTGTGCTTATCACAAGTATCAATAAGGAAATGCAACTGAGAACCATAGGAAGGTTCAGAAGAGAAGTAAAAAAGTACATCAGAGAACAGTGATGTAAAAAGGGTGGTCAACATAAAGGGCATCCCAAACTCTTCCTCGGACATAAGGAGTAAAAAAGGAGAAGTTGTGATAACTAGAGATTATAAAAGGGAATGTACACAGAGGAGTTCTTTTTTTAAATTAATTCATGGGACTTGGGCATCACTGGCATGGCCAGCATTTATTGCCCATCGCAGAGGTCAGTCGAGAGTCAACCACATTGCTGTGGGTCTGGAGTCATGTGTAGGTAAGGCCAGGTAAGGATGGCAGATTGCCCTCCCTAAAGGATATTAGTGAACCAGATGGGTTTTTCTGACAATTAGCAATGGTTTCATGGTCATCGTTGGACTCTTAATTCAAATTTCACCATCTGCCATGATGGGATTTGAAGCCAGGTCCCCAGAACATTACCTGGGTCTCTGGATTAATAGTCCAGTGATAACATCACTAGGCCATTGCCTACCTATGTGGATGTTACATTGTGACAAAGGAAGAAACAATGTCACAAGAAATGTTCAAAATTGACAGGGAGAATTGTCGATGGATTGACAGCAGCTCTGAAGGAGGGTCACTGGACTTTCTCCCAACAGATGCTTCCAGACCTGCTGAGTTTCTCCAGCAATTTCTGTCTTTTATTCTAATTGCCTTCCATACTACCTGCAAAACTTGGATGACAGCTTTTTGTGATTTATGTACAAGGACTGCCAAATCTGTGTTACAGATTTCTGTACTCTTTCCCATTTAGGTAATAGTCTGATCCTCTATTCTTCTTGCCAAAGTACACAACCTTATTTCTGACCACACTGGAGGAACATTTGTATTTGATTTACCCAGAGGTATAGGGACACTTGCTTTTCCCGATATATGTTAACCATCTAGATCTCGGCATGACAATTTCCACGTTTGCTGCTAACACAATGTGGAAGCATTACAAACTGTGAGGAACAACATAGAACTTAAAAAGTAAACACAGAAAATAGGTGGAGTAGGCCATTCAGCCCTTTGAGCCTGCACCATCATATGATCATAGCTGATCATTCAGTTTACCAGTACTTCACTCCCACTTTCTCTCCACACACCTTGATCTCTTTACCCAAACGGGCATGTCCATCTCCCTCTTGAATATATCCAATGAACCGGCCTCCACAGCTTTCTGTGGTAGACAATTCCACAGATTCACAACTTTGAGCGAAGAAATTCTTCCTCATCTCAGTCCTGAACGGCTTACCCCTTATTTTCACACTGTGACCCCTAAATCGGACTTCTCCAACATAGAACATAGAACAGTACAGCAAAGTACAGGCCCTTCGGCCCATGATGTTGTGCCGAGCTTTTACCCTAATCCTAAGGTCTATCTAACCTCCACCCCCACCTTATACTATCATCCATAAATCAGGAACGTCAGGAACATTTTTCCCACATCTAGCCTGTCCCATCTGGATTTTATATATTTCTACAAGATTCCCCCCTTCACTCTTCTAAATTCCAGTGAGTACAAGTCCAGTCAATCCAGTTTTTCTACATATGTGAGTCCTACCATCCCAAGAATCATTCTGGTGAACCTTCACTGGACTCCCTCAATAGGAAGAATGTCCTTCCTTAGACTAGAAGACCAAAACTGCACACAAAACTCCAGGTGCAGCCTAACCAAGGCCCTGTACAACTGCAGCAAGACATCCCTACTTCTATACTCAAATCCTCTCACTACGAAGGCTAACATGCCATTAACTTTCCTCACCATCTGCTGCACCTGCACACCAACCTTCAGCGACTTTCCACCATGACACTTAGGTTTTCAGAGATTTTCTGAAAAAGGGTCTAGGCCCGAAACGTCAGCCTTCCTGCTCCTCTGATGTTGCTTGGCCTGCTGTGTTCATCCAGCTCTACACCTTGTTATAGAAGTTTTTAAGTTCTGTTTAAAATTGGACAATTTTAAGAATTCTACACCAGCTTAAAGTCCGAAATATTTAAATAAGGCAATAGCACCATCCATTGGAAGAAAAGGTGTACCTGAAGAAACAAAATAGAGTTTTTGAATGTTAACATAACATGTTGATCCAGGTTACAATGGATGCTTGGCAATTAACATCCATTCTTTTGTGCATGTCACACCATTGTTATAGAGCTGTGGAAGCCTAAATGTTTTAGCCTCTTTCTCTCTTTCGTTGCCTTCAAGACACTATTTAAAATGTTACACTTTAGCAAAGCTTTTGGTCACCTTTCCTAAAAGGCAACTTCTTTTGGCTTGACATCAATTTCATTCAACTACACAGAAACATAGAAAATAGGAACAGGAATAGGCCATTCAGTACTTTGAGCCTGCTCCGCCATTCCCTATGATCATCCAACTCAGTCCCCTGTTCATGCTTTTACCCCATATCCTTTGTTCCTTTAGGGCTAAGAACTATATTTAACTCCTTCTTGAAAACATTCAATACTTTGGCCTCAACCGCTTTCTGTGGTAGAGAATTCAACAGCTCATCACTCTCTGGGTAAAGAAATCACATCAGTCTTAAATGTTATACTCATATCCTTAGAGGGACATCTAGTCTGGACTCCTCAGTCATCAAGAACACCCTTCCTGAAGTTACATTCTCTAAGTCCTGTTAGAATATTAAAGGTTTCTACGTGATCTTACTATAGTTTTCGGCTCATTGGTGTTTCTAAGCTTCTACCCAGGTTCCACTCCATCAGAGCTAATATTTTTCCTCACTATTGTGTTAATGTGCTCTTCAAACAGCAATGCTACCCCACCTCCTTTTCCTCGTCATCTGTTCTACCTAAACACTGGTTTTCAGTTCCCACCCAGAGTCACCGTGCAGCTATTTCTCCATAATTCAACTATATTAAACTATATATAAACTATATTTATATCTATTTCTGCAACTACTTCACCCACTTTATTGCTAATTGTCCGTACATTAAGACACAAGCCTTGTTTCTTAATCTTTTCAGTCCTGTCCCCACAAACCCGTGAAGCACCCTGTGACATTTATGAAACAGCCCAAATGCTACAGAAATACAAGCTGCAGTTATGATCATTGCCGCTGCTGTTTATGTCACAGGGAATGCTTGATGTCATCCTCATCAGCTGCTGCCAATATCAGGCCAATTCCTTGCACAGACATCTTAACGGTTAGCCCGAATCTCAACCCTAGTTCCGGCTCCTGCTAAATCCATAAAAAATCAACAAAGTAAGAAAGATGTTGTAATCACAGATACAAAGGAGACCAGAGTCTAGAGACGGGCAGAAAGGAGGAGGCAACTAAGGTGCTCTGGTCAGCAGGGTACAACATTGTACCAAGAACCCAAAGGTCTCTATTTTTAAAAGTACAAGTCATATTATAAATCAGAAACAGCATTAACCACGACACATACAGCATCCTGTAATTATTGGATGGGTTACTTCAGCAATTAATTAACTCACCGCTTCAAGCAGACCTTTCCAGCCTCCAATGGCTGCAAATTGCCTGTGTTTTTCACCAAACATGGAACGGGCGATCATACGCTCCAAGTACACTGTATGACCTTCATTTAACCTAGTAGAAATACATCTTCATTTACCACAAGTGTGTTCAAAAGCTGCGCTTACCATCCATTTTTTAGCAAATGTCAACAAATTGTTTTATGAATGGAGGTGAGCTGTCTTCTTGAACTGCTACAATCCATTCACTGTAAGCACATGCACAGTGTTGTTCAGGAAGGGGTTCCAGATTTTGACCTAGTAACAGTGAATGAATGGTATTATAGTTACAAGTCAGAAAGCTGAATGGCTTAAAAGGGAGCTTGTAAGTGGCAATGATCCCATGCATTTGCTGCCCTTGACCCTCTAGATGGCAGCTGTTGTAGGTTTGGAAGGTGCTATTTATAGAATGTTGCTTAATTTCTGCAGTGCAACTTGTAGATAGTACAAATGCTACTACTACATTGGTGGTGAGGGAATGAATATTTATGGAGGTGATGTTTGTCCTGGATGTTTTTGTCGAGTGTTCGAGTGTTTTTGTCATACTGAAGTAATGAATGGAATAATGTCTACAGTGTTATTTGTATGGGCTACCAGAAGACATTAGATAAAGTCTCTCAGAAGAGAATGTTACCTGAAGTTGAAGCTCATGTAATTGGAAATATTAATAAAGCTCCTTTGGACACAGGATCTGTTGAGCTGAGTCCTTTCTATACGGTGAATAGATAGTAACAGCGGCAGTTCAAAATGTCTGGGGATGGTCCATTAAATCGTCATGGACAATACAGAAATTAATTCAAGACTAATGGAACACTGTAAAAAGTCTTGTTTAGACTACATCTGGAGTTACAGTGAGCAGCTTATACCTTAAGAAGGGTAAATTGGTCTTGTGGAAGTGTAGCATAATGTACCGGAATGACATGTAGAATCAGTGAGTTAAGTTACAAAAAGAGATTTAAAATGCTAGAGATTTCTAGAATTTAGAAGGTTAAGGGGTGGTTTAAAATCAGTTTAAGATGTTGAAAAGAACATCTTCTCAACAGCAATTCAGAATGAGCAATAGATGCTGGGCAGTAAAGCCTATGAATGAAAACAAAAGTACCTCTTCAAGAACTTCAATCTGTTAGGTATTACATACCTTCACAAAGCCATGTCGGCTCTGTGATTAGCCTAGACTTTTCAAGGTGTTCAGTTATGTTATTATTAACTTAGCCTAAGAACAATTATTAGAGACTAATTGGCGTCTAAATTCCCAGGTTTACACCTCTCACTTTTCCTAAGCAGGGTGACATATATATTTTTTCAACATAAAAATACAGTTGCTGAATCAAGACAACTTTTGATGATTATAATTAGGATATCTTCACTCAACTCCTTTTAAAAAGCAAAGAGAAGATTTTTCATCACTGGATTTTGCTTACATTAACGTCAACAAGTCTCATTCTGGATGCAATATTGGTTACCTTGAGATTTCTAGTATATTATCTTTTCTCTCTATTGTAAATGCTGATAAAGTTATGATTCAACGTATTTGCCTTTTTCTGATTTTAATTTGTGATATTATTTATTAATTTACATTGCTCCTCTCCATTCTTTCCCTCATAAAATCAAACCAATTTTATACTTTGATCAAATCTCCCCTCAGCCTTCCCTGCTCCAGAGAAGAAACCCAAGTTTTTCTAGCCTCTCCTTATAGCTCATATCCTCTAATCCAGGCAACATCTTCTTCTGTACCCTCTCCAAAGCCTCCACATCCTTCCAGTAATGTGATGACCAGAATTGAACACCATACTCTTCCGAGTGGCCTAACCAAAGAATATAAAGCTGCAACATGACATCCTGACTCTTTTACTCAATTCCTCGACCAATAAAGGCAAGCATGCCATATGCTTCTTTACTACCCAGCTACTCGTATGGCCACTTTCAGAGAGCTATGGACTTAAACCCCAAAATCCCTCTGTATATCAATGCTGTTCACAGTCCTGCCATTAACTATATACTTTTCCTTAATATTGATCTTCCACCTCACACTTACTTGGATTAAACTCCATCTGCCATTTCTCCGCCCATATCTGCAACTGATCTATATTCCGCTGTATCCTTTGACAACCTTCTACATTTCCACAACTCCACTGATCTTTGTATCGTCTGCAAACTTACTAACCTACCCATCTACATTTTCATCCAAGTCATATATATACACATATATATCACAAACAGCAGAGGTCCCTCTGGTTACGGACTTCCAGCCAGAAAACACCCTTCCACCACCACTGTTTGCCTTCTATGGGCAAGCCAATTCTGATCCAAGTCACCTTTATATTCCTCACGGGCCCTTGTCTGATTTTAGCTTCCTAAACTTTACATATGCTTTTTCTCACTTGACTAAATTCACATCCTCCCTCATAATCCAAGAGTCCCTTACCTTGCCAGCCTTGTCCTTCCTCTTTACTGGAACATGTCAGTCCTGACCTCTTGATCAGTAGGTATCTAAACAACTCATATGTCAAATGTGGACTTGCCCGTTAACTGCTCCTCCCAATTAACATCTCCCTAGCCTAATACGGATGTATTTTGCCCTCCTCCAATTTAGTACCTTCCCTTCAATATGTAGGGAGATCACAGATAGCTGTAAGAACAATAGGGTTGTAATAGTAGAGGATTTTAACTTTCCAAATAAAGTGTTAGGGGCTTGGATGGGGAGGAATTTGTGAAGGGTCTTCAAGAAAACTTTCTCAATCAATATATAGAAGGCCCTAATGAAGAAGGGGCAAAATTTGACCTCCTCTTGGAAAATAAGGCAGGGCAAGTAACTGACATGTTTAGTCAGGGAGCACTGACTATAATTCTATTAATTTTAAAATAGTTATAGAAAAGGATAGATCTGATACACAAGTTAAAGACCTAAATTGGGGCTGGGCCAAATTTGATGGTATTAGGCAGGAACTTTCAAAATTTGATTGAAGGATGCCATTTGCAGGTAAAGAGACATCTGGCAAGTGGGGGGCTTTCACAAGCAAGATGAGTGTTCAGGCCAGCATGTTCCTGTTAGTGTGAAGAGCAAAGTTGGCAGGAGCAGGGAAAACTGGATGACTAGAGATATTGAGGCTCTGGTCAAAAAAAAGGAGGCATATGTCAGGTATAGACAAGCTGTGATCAAGTGAATCCCTTTGAATAGAATAGAGCGTGCAGGAGTACACATTAGAGGGAAATCAGGAAGGCAAAAAGAGGACATGAGATAGCTTCGGCAGATAGAGTAAAGGAGAATCCAAAGAGATTCTACAAGTATATTAGGGGAAAGAGTAACTAGGGAGTAAACTGGGTCCCTTAAAGATCAAAGAGGTCGTCTATGTGTGGAACCACAGGAGATGGATGAGATCCTGCAAGCATTTTTTGCATCAGTATTTACCATGGAAAAAGCTATACAAGCTAGGGCAATAAGTAGTGATGTCTTGAAAAGAGACCAAATTATAGAAGAGGTTGTGCTGGAGGTCTTAAAATGCATAAAGGTAGTTAAGTCCCTGGGACTTGATCAAGTGCATCCCAGAACATTGTGAGAAGCTATGGAAGAAATTGCAGGCGCCTAGCGGAGTTATTTGCATCATCGACAGCCATGGGTGAGGTGCCAGAAGACTGGAGGGTGACAAATGTTGTGCCATTATTTAAGAAGGGCTGCAAGGAAAAGCCAGGGAACACACCATTGAGCATAACATCAGTGGTGGGTAAGTTGTTGGAGGATATTCTGAGAGACAGGGTCTACGTGCATTTTGGAAAGGCAAGGACTGATTAGGGATGGTCAGAATAGTTTTGTGCGTGAGAAATTGTTTCTCAAAAACTTGATTGAGTTTTTTGAAGAGATGACCAAGAAGATAGATGAAGGCAGAGCAGTAAATATTGTCAACACAGACTTTTGCAAGGTATTCAACAAGATTCCATATGGTAGTTAGTAAAGTTAGATCACAAGGGATCGAGGAAGAACTAGCCAACTGGATATAAAATTGGCTTGATGGTAGGAGACAGTGGGTGGTGGTGGAATGTTGTTGTTCAGACTGGAGGCCTGTGACAAGTAGTGTGCTGCAAGGATCAGTGCTGGGTCCACTGTTGCTCATAATTTATATAAATGATATGGATGAGAATATAGAAGGCATGGTTAGTAAGTTTGTGGATGACACCAAAATTGGTGGTATAGTGGACAGTGAAGGCGGCTATCAAAGAGTACAACGGGATCTCTGTCAACTGGGCCAGTGGGGACAAGGAATGGCTGGAGTTTAATGCAGATAAATAAAAGGTGTTGCATTTTGGCAAGACAAACTACGGCAGAGCTTACACAGTTAATGGTAGGCCCCTGGGGAGGCTGTCAAACAGACAGACCTGGGGTGCAGGTATAGTGGTCCTTGAAAGTGGTGTCACAGATAGTGAAGGCGGCTTTTGGTACGCTTGCGTTCATCAGTCACAGCATGGAGTACAGAAGTTGGGACATCACATTACAGTTGTACAAGACATTAGTAAGGGCACATTTAAAGTACTGCATACAGGTCTGGTCGCCCTGCTACAGGAAGGATGTTATTAAACTGAAAAGAATGCAAAAAAGATTTACAAGGACATTACTGAGACTGCCGGGTTTGAGTTAAGGGGTGGTTGGATAGGCTACGACTTGTTTGTTGGAGCTTAGGAGGCCACCCGTTGACCTTGTGGAGGTTTATAAAATCATGAGGGCATAGATAATGTGAATAGCCAAGGTCTTTTCCCTAGGGTAGGGGAGCACAAATAGGTTTAAGGTGAGAGAGGAAAGATTTAAAAGGGACTTGAGGGGCAACTTTTTCACACAGAGGGTGGTGCGTATATGGAACAAGCTGCCAGAGGAAGTGGTAAAGGTGGGGCACAATTACAACATGTACTTGACCAAACGTCTTTTAAATGTTAGGAAAGATTTAGAGGGATATGAGCCAAAGCAGGCAAATAGGGTTAAGTTCAGTTTAGGAAACCTGGTCTGCTTGGACGAGTTGGGCTGTTTCCGTGCTGCTTGACTTTATGACTCTATAAAGAGCTCCAGATGCTGAAAATCTGAAACAAATTCAGAAATTAATGGAGAAACTCAGCAGGTCTGGCAGCATATGCGGAGACAAAGCAGAATTAACTGACTTTTCTTCAGAACAGTTCTGATGAAGAGTCACTGGACTCAAAACATTAACTCTGCTTTGCCTCCATAGATGCTGCCAGACCTGCTGAGTTTCTCCAGCAATTTCTAAGTTTGGTCATAATGCCCAAAATTGGGATCACTGCTGCTTCCAAATTTATATTAATGACAGGGTTTAGAAATTCAAACCAAATTTAGCATAAGTGCAGCTTACATTAAATTAAAAGATGGTGCAATCTAAGCAGGCAACCCAGAGTGTTGGATAAAATATGCAGGTCGACTGAAAATTGGCAGATGACATTAAAGCTGATATGAAGTACTACAGTAAAATGTGAAGGGCTTCAAAAATTGTGTTAAAATAGTTTAGAAGGAAAGTTAAAGAGACCAGAAATTGGAATAGACTGTACATTTATGCTCTACCAGAGCAAAGCAGCAATCAACAAAACTCCAATTTTTTCCAGTTTGCAGTATATTGTTTTGGCTCTAGGTTCAGTTGGTTTTGTTGATTGCGGCTTTTCATTGAATTAGCACACTAAGCATGGAATGTTCAAAGCCTCCAGGGTCTGACCAGCTTCTGAATTCATTGTTCTTTTAATAGAGTAAAAGATTCCAGGATGCTTCACAAGATAGATGTCAAACACAATATGAGATCGAGCCATGAAAGAATATTAGATCAATGAGGTAGGATTTAAAGAGCATGTTAAACAAGAAAGATGGTTAGGGGGCATAGGGAGTACATTGCAGAGCTTAGGGGCAAGGCAACTGAAGGCATGGTGTCAATGGTGGAAGGATTCAAGTTTGTGATGTGTAGGAGCTTAGCACCGGAAGAGAGTAAAGATCTTGGAGATGTGCAGCCATATAAAAGTCACATAAAAAGGGATGGATGAGACATCAGAAGGCTTTGGATAAAAAGGATGACTTATTTATTTACAGTTGAGATATTGGCAGACTGGCAGCCAAGTTTACAAAAGTGGAAGATAGGAGACCAACCAGGATTTGAATAGTCACATGTAGAAATAACAAAGGCATGAGTAAGGGTTTCAGCAGCTAATGAGCTGGGGCGAAGCAAAGTCAGGGAATATTGCAGGGGTGTTAAGTCAGTAAGTTAGTTCCTGGAGCAGATATTCAATTAGAAGTCCTCTATGGATTAAATACGAAGCATCAAGGTTGAAGTAACTTGGTTCACCCTGAGACACTTGTAAGGGAAGAGGGATATAAATTGGTAGCTGCAGGAAGAGAGTTAATATCAGGGACCAAAGATAATGGACTTGATTTTTCCAATATTTCTGCTCATCCAGTACTGGATGTTGGACAAGCTGTGTCATAAATCTGACAGTAAAGTGGTCGACAAGGGTTGATGGCAATGTACAGCATCAGGAATGTGGAACCTGACAGTTTAGTTTTAGCTGATGTTGCCACATGCTTGTATTCCTGAAATAGGAGGGGACCAAGTTAAAGCCTCAGGGCCTCTATAGTTAACAGTAATCAAGGAAGAAACCATTGTAGTTAATGTTCTGGTTACCACTAGATGAGCAAGAACAAAATCAGGTGAGCACAGTCCACCCTACTGGGCAATAGAAGAGAGGGGACTGCGGAGAATGGTGTGATCAACAGCATGAAACATTGAAGGCAAGTCAAGAATCTTTAGGATGAATAGTTCAATGGGATGTTATTTAAGATTTTACTAAGATCTGTTTCAGTACTGTGGGAAGAATCAAGCATGGTGTTACAGGAAAGACAGATAGATTTGGAAAATGATAACATGTTCACTCTTACTTATGCCAACAACCTAATTATAAAAATACTAGTTTCTCTTTCCTTGCTGTACTTCACATTTGTCAGCATTAAAATTCATCTACAAGTTTCCTGTTCACATATATGTAGCATTTTGATTTTTTCTGAACTGCATTCACTCTTGCTATTTTGGTGGTATTTACATGTATGACCAATTTGCATTTAGTTGTAAAGTCAAGTCATTGTTCCCTCTGCACAGATCAAGGAGGTAAGTTGGCAGAGCCTGACCTCAGTTGAAAATACCTAACATTTATTCCTTTAATATCAATGGCAAGACAATCTACCTCAAATTGTGAATTTAGTAATCACTTCCCATGTTGGTGAATTTTGAAAATTTAAGAAAATGCATCATTTCTGCAAACATTTAACTTGTGAGATTATGAATCAAGATGAAACAAGAGAATAGTAGTTACTGGAATTCCAGACATTATGCATGTACATACCAGAAATCCTCCCAGGTTTTGTTGGTGACTAGGTTTCCTGTCCAACTGTGGGAAATCTCATGTGCAATTACCTAAAAATACAAATGTTTTCCTGTTCAGTCGCTTAAACCTCTGACAATCAATCGTTAATGTTTGTGCATTAGAATGAAAGCAGCTGTACTAGCAGAACTGGAGAGGGTCTTCATTCACGGCACTTCTAACAGCCTGTAATCAATGGCAGCTGGACAAGAATTGCTGCCTTCATTTTACTTCCTCCCCATCCTTCCTTTCTCAAAAAAATGACAAACATCATTAAAGCCTGAAAACAATTCCAACATAACTATAACTCAAAATGGCAAGCAAGAAAGAACATGCCTTAATAGTCAATAGCAGAGATGTTTTGCTACAGCTGTAGCGAGCATTGGTGAGGCCACATTTGGAATACTGTGTAAGGCTTTTGTTTCATTTGTGCAAATGCATTTGAATCAGTTCAAACAGATTTACTTGACTGATACTGGGATGGGGAGCTTATCTTATGAGAAAAGATTGGGCCGGCTGGGCCTCATATCCAGTCGGAAAAATAAGAGGTGGTCTTATTGAAATATACAAAATCCTGAGGAGATTTGACGAGGTAGTTGAAACTAGAGACTAGAACTGGAGGACAGTCTAAAAATAAGGGATCTCCTGTTAAAAACTGGGAGGAGGAGCTTTCTTTTCTCCCAGATTGTTGAGTGTCTTTGGAACATGCTTCCCCAGAGACCAGTGGACACAGAGTCATTGAAAACTTTTAAGGGAAAGGTAGATAGATTCTCAACAAATAAGGGATCAAGGGCAATTGAGGACATGTGCGGTTGAGGCTTCATTCAAATCCTGACCTTATTGAGTGGCAGAGCAATCTAGAGGGGTTGAAAAGCCTATTCTAGCTCTTAATTCATATGCACATGGCAATTAGGACACAAGCAATTAAGAACACAGAAGGAAAGAGAAATAAAAGCAGGCCATATACCCTTTCAAGCCTGCTCAGCCATTCAATAAGATCATTTATAAATGTGACATTAACTCCACTCTCCCACCTATTCCTATATACTATTATTCACTCAATAGCCACAAATGTCTCAATTTCAGTCTTGAACGCATTTATATCTGATCATCCGCAGCCCTCTGGAAGAGAGGATTCCATGGTCTTACAATCTTCTAATAGAAGAAATCTTTCATCTCAGCACAGCATGTCCTCATTTAACATCGTGGTTGCTTTCAGGAAAATTGCAACTTTAACTAGTGCAGCAATTAAATGAATCATGGTTTCCCATAGGAATCAATGTTAAATTAGAGTTAGGTTCACTTGGACGTTTCTCACCCAGAAAAAAAACAATGCCGAAGCTGAAATACTGTACTGTACCGTACTCCGTGGCAGAGGCTGGACGCCAGGAACTACCTCCACTGACTGATTTCTGCACTAGATGGAGCCCAGCACCTCAGGGCAAGTTCAGGAGGGAAGTCAAGAACAGACAAGAGCAGACATGGAGTACAAGGCAAGAACAGAGGCAGGAGGTGAGGCTGGGGCACAGCAACAGCGAGAAGTGACATGGAGCTAGAGCATAGTTGGGAGACAAGGCCAGGGGAACAGCAGGTCTGGTGGAGAGGGAGAGAAACCATGATGGGTAGGGCAATTCCAAATAGGTTGGGGAGGTGAAGTGGGAACCAAGCTGCGGGAAGGCAAGGCCGGAGGAGACCAGACCAGACTAGACAATAAAGTCAGGAGGGAGGCAACACCAGGAGACAAAAGGTCCAGAGGAGAGGCAAACTGGAAAACAAGGCCAGGAAACAAGGACGTGTGGGTGGGAGAAAGAGGGACTGGGGAGAGGTCAGAAGTGCTGGGGGAAAGTTCTTCTGAGCAGGCAGGCCACTAGCTATGAAGTCTGCCAAACAATGTTAAACTGAAACTGACAGCTTTAACTAGTTATACTTACATTAGTTTATTAACGTCCTGATACCATGTTAACTGTGTCATTGTTAAGTGGGGACTTACTATACTGAATAGTTGGCCTCTTATCCTGAAGTAATAACCACTAGTTCTAGGCTTAGCCAGGGAAAACTATCCCCCAGCATTTGAATTGTCAAGCCCTCAAAGTTTCATACATTTCTGAGAGATCAGCTCTCATCCTTCTGGGGTCCAAACTGTATTCACCCATTCTTTTCAGATCTCTATCGATCACTTGTTGAGTAAACATTTTCTTCATGACTAAGTCACATATAAAAGATAGGCCTCTCAGTTCTGTCAGCAAGTTACAAAGAGAATTATTGAATAAGCTCTATATTAATAAATAACAGAATATTGTACTTACATTAGAAAGACTTCTATCACCAGCCTAGAACAAGATAAAAATTATATTACACATTGTGCAAGCTTTAGCCAGATGAACTAGAATTGAAAACCTATTACATGCTATCACTGTGTTAATTGTCAAACAAATATGCAATAAAATTCATGTTTCACAGACAGCACTAAATAACCATTTATGATTAGAAATTCAATTCTGATCATTAATTTGAACAACATATGTACTTTGAAACAACTGTTAGAAAACCAAAGTACATTTCATTTCTTACCAGCAGAGTTGGTGTTACAAAAGTCAGGCAAGGGTTCTCCATTCCACCATAAGGAAATGACGGAGGAAGTACAAGGAGATCATATCGTCCCCACACATATGGACCCATAAGCTCTTCAGCTTTCTTGAGCATGGTTTCAGTCTGTCACCACAAATAATGCATTAGTGTATACATACAGTAGAGTGTCAAGAAGGCATTTCATTTGATCAGTTACAAGTACTAGGAGATGCATCACGTGGTCAAGAGTCAGTATATTTTGTATTTAACTTGGTAACAGCTTCTCATTTCCTCCCTTACCCATGTCCCAACTGCTGCTAGTTTAACACCAGATGCATTTCCACCAATGCTGTTTAAAATGAACGCTAGGTTATTTAAGAAATGTTCCCCAACAAATGTCCCTCTAATTTAAGATAACGAGGTGTACAGCTGGATGAACACAGCAGGCCAAGCAGCATCAGAGGAGCAGGAAAGCTGACACTTCGAGACCAGAAATGTCAGCTTTCCTGCTCCTCGGATGCTGCTTGGCCTGCTGTGTTCATCCAGCTCTACACCTTGTTATCTCACATTCTCTAGCATCGGCAGTTCCTACTATCTCCTTCTAATTTCCTTTGTTTCTCTATAGTGAAAATGCCAGGCCTAAAGATCTAGCCAAAAACTAGTCAAAGAGGAAAATTCAAAGTAGGATCTTAAGGAACTGAGGTTGAGTAACACTGGTGTTTTACAGAGGGAATTTCACAGTGTGGGACTTTAGGCTAAAAGCGTGGTTACCAATTAAAAGGTATTCAAGGTGGGAAGCTGCACCAAGGTGACAGAAAGACGGGATTTGGGGAGCAGTTGGAGGTGGTTAGAAGAAAGAATGGGTGAGGGCACATTTATTAGGAGAAAGAACTTTAAATTTGGGGCACTGATGGGACTGATAAAGAATAAGACCAAGAGGGACAGGCAAGCAGAACTGTTGCAAGTGAGTGAAGCAGCAAAGATTTAAACGAGCTGAAGTTATGAATTTCAACCACAAGAACATTTGAATTGCTGAGTTTAGAGGTGACAAAGGCACACATGAAACATTTGGGCAGATGAACCAAGGGCGGGGACAGATGATGTCAATAGACAATTTGTATGGAAAGTGTGTAGGGTTGTAAGCAAGCTTAGCATCTAACAGATTGCCAAGAATCTGATTCATTTCGAAAAATGGTTGGGAAGGAGGATTGAATTTGTTTTGAAGATAAGGAGCTTGTGGCAAAAGCTAAAAACTAAACATATGAGTAAAGAAAGGTTTTTGGCAAAGTAGATCATTCATTCTATTCATCATGTCCATTCAAGCAGAAAAAACAGCAATCCAGCCGAATCTTGCCTTCTGGCTCTCAGACTTTGCAGCCTGTAGGTTACAAACTCAACTATATGTTATATACAAAGAGATTGAGGTTTCAGCCTCAATTATCCTGTCAGGCAGTGTGTTCCAGATTCCCAACTTTCTCTGAATTAACTCCTTTAATTCTTCCTCCAATTATTTTCAAGCAAGACCCCTGTTTAATGATCTCTCTGCTAATGAAAATTGGTCCTTTGTGGGCATTCTATTATATTTTATGGATTTCAATTAAACGTTCCTTCAGTTTCCCCTGTTTCAAAGAAAACAATTCCAGCTTATCAAATCTTTACTCTTGGCTAAAATTCTATATTTCTGGCAACATCCTCAGTAATCTCTCCAAACCCACTCTACTGCAACACATTCTTCAGGTAACAATGACCAGAACTCAGCTGGTGATTCCCCAGTTTAAAAAATACGCCCTTGGTCTATCTTTATCTTTTACGCAACTCCTCTAAATCTAACAAAACTTTCAACATTATTAAAATAGTCTCCCACTATCCAGATTCAATCCCTAAAACTAAATTCAGAACTGCCCCTTTTCCTGCTGAGTTAGCTGCATTGCGGCTAAAAGAGATATCCTCTTAGCATTTAAGAATTCTGCACTTTCTATCTTTTATGCTGAATTTATCTCAGCTAATATTGATTATTGAAACCCACAACAACAGCCTTTTTAGTTCGATACTTCTCAGCAACATTTTGACATATTTGCCCTACTATCACCCTCTGTTTGGAGATCTCTTTTGCAGTTTGATTGCTCCTATTTTGCTCCACACATCAACCCAAAAAGCCTCATTTGATGCTTCTCATGTCATTCCTGCTCACAGTTCAAGCTTCCTCATGTTCAGCTGAAAGAAATATAGTTTCTAGCAAACTAACTTACTTAAAGAGACAATGGAGGGGTTGGGAAGCTGATTGTGTGTCTCTGGGTGATGCAATGGAGGGCCTGCAGGCTGATTAGGATTAAGACAGTCAAGCAGATAAAAGGTGAATAAGGAGAATTCCAATGAGCTAGACGGCAAAGGCGGGGTGTTAAGGCAGGACAGCACTGTTGATCGTTCAAAAGTTGAAATAGCCAGTAGGAATTCAACTGCACTCCTGGTACAGACTACTGAAATACAAGTGAAAAGCATCTGAAACAAACCTCTTCAAATTCATATGCAGCAGCATCCACCATCTCCTTCTCTGACCAGACTCTCGATCTTGGGCCAATTACTCTGAAAAGCAAATTCATCTTATAAAACAGCATTAAAGGATTAAGTGTGATCAGTTTAGCAACTTCACATTCTTTTAATCTCCTGTTTTTCATAGTGTGAATTGGTAATGCCTGAATTTAAATAGTATAAAACGTCTTCCAGATCCTCCAAAGGGCATTAATGGATCGTAACACTGTAGCACTCAATCTTTTTGTTAATACCCTCTCCCATTTTTTATTTCAAGCTTTTGGGCCTCTTATCAAATGGACTAACTCCAATGGGGAACGGCTGCACAGGGTCTGTAAGATCTCTGGTACCTCACCAAAATGGGACTAAAAGAACAAACCAGATTACCGCTTCTTTGGGATGACAGAAATATTGGCCAAGGTACGAGGAGGGCTCCCTTCTCTTTGAATTATGTTTTTAGGTTGTTATGTTTACAAGAGAGGGAGGGGAGGGGGAGGGAGGGGAGAGAGAAGACAGCTATAGAAGGAGAAAAGACAGTTCAGTTTAGCATCTTAACTGCGGGACATCCCCTCAGCCTATAGTCCATTGCAATAAAATTTCAGCCAAGATTATATTGAAGATGTTAGAAGTAGCTTAAACTGTCAAATTCAACTCAACATCACTATTGAGCCAAGTCTGACAACTCCATGTATATTACGTATGAGAAAAAGTGGTAAATGTGAGTAGAATGATGTTGCTGTATCCTAATCATGAATAGTAACCCATATTTGCCTCCTCATTGAACCTGGAATGCTTGGCCAATTGTAGTTCTCCTCCTGCAATTCCAGCCAAGAGGGGTTAATCTACAATTGTTGAACCATTCTTTAGTCCTCAATGTTACATTCTGTGGTATTTTGTGCCTCCACGGCTCCAAAAAAATCCGACAAGCCATTACATCACCATCCACTAGATTAAAGGCTTGGAAAATAAGTGATCAAAAACAAATATTCCTGCAGCATTCAAACACAGAAACGCTCATCTCCACTAAGAATGATGCATAACAATGGCACACTTGACCTCATACCTAGAGACAATATGGACCGTAGAAGTGTCATATGCTCTTACATATGTTCTATCTTGAACGGGCAAGATTACCAAATTCAAAGGGTTTTTCCATCCCCGTGGTACTAGGAAGATTATAGTAACCAATCTACTTTTCCTACATTGCCCTCTCAGGCAACTGATACAAAGCCAATTAAAGCCGACTTTCTACTGAACTACTTTCTGCACACAAAGACATATCAACACACTGAATGAGCTTCAGACAGTGCATTAAAAGGCAAAAAGTCCAGAATCTTTTAAGAACCAATTAGATGTAATGAACGGAGCTAGATGAAGAAACAAATAGAGGCTGAGTGACCCTCACTGATCACATTGTCCTATCCAGCTTCATGTTTCTAATATTAGAAAATAGTTACTGTCACCCACACCAAGGAATATTCCCGCAGTATACAGCGGTAGAAATCAGGTTCTCTCACTGGACAGCGTAAAACAATGTGTTGCGAGTGTAAAACAATGGTTTGCACATACTTTCATACTATTGAGAATGATAGGACCAATTTCCTTTTGTATCTCTGAACTTGTTTGTACACTAGATACACTAGATAGAAAGGTCATTGTTTTAAATGATCCCTTACAAGGCAATAGATTAATAAATAAATGTTAATAATTTATGAAATCAAAAGATTAAATAGTATATCTAGCTCAACTAACATATTCTGAGAAATACAGCCTGCATCAAGGTCTAAGGTCAAGTACAGAAATAGAGAAGGATTTCTCCCTTCCTAAAGCTAATATGAAAGCACAATTATCAACTCCAAAAGGAAAAAAAATGATTGAGAAAAACATTCTTGGAGCTGCTTTAGAAAGTGATTGCCAGTGCTAAACTTAACAAAAAAGATTCAAGAAATCACCAGGAACAGCAGATAGAATCAGCATGCTCTTACTGTAATTCTTGGAAGCTAAATGGTCAAACAACCAGACAGAAATGGCAAAAGAGTAACATTGTACTTCATAGAGTCATATAGTCACACAGCACAGAAACAGACCCTTTGGTCCAACTAGTCCATGCTGAACATAATCCCAAACTAAACTAGTCCCACCTCCCTGCTCCTGGCCCATATCCCTCCAAATCTTTCCTATTCATATATCTATGGAAATGTCTTTTTAATGTTGTAATGTTACCTGCATCCATCACTTTCTCAGAAAGTTCATTTCACACATGAATCACAGTGTAGAAAATTTGCCTCGTGTCTTTTTTTAAATCTCTCTCCTCTCACCTTAAAAATCTGCTCCCTTGTCTTGAAATGCCCCATCCTAGGGAAAAGGCAACAACCATTAACTCTATACCTCTCATAAACTTCAACCAGGTTGTCTCTCAACCTCTTACGTGCCAGTGAAAAAAGCCTATCCAGCTTTTCTTTATAACTCAAACCTTCCATACCCGGCAATATCCTGATAAATCTCTTTTGAACCCTCTCCAGCTTGATAATATCCTCCCTATGACTAGGTGATTAGAACTGGACACAATGTAGGAAAAGTAGATTGGTTACTATAATCTTCCTAGTACCACGGGGATGGAAAAACCCTTTGAATTTGGTAATCTTGCCCGTTCAAGATAGAACATATGTAAGAGCATATGACACTTCTACGGTCCATATTGTCTCTAGGTACGAGGTCAAGTGTGCCATTGTTATGCATCATTCTTAGTAGAGATGAGCGTTTCTGTGTTTGAATGCTGCAGCAATATTTGTTTTTGATCACTTATTTTCCAGAAGAGGCCTTACCAATATTCTGTACAACCTCATCATAACTTCCCAACTCCAATACTCAAAGGACTGAGCAATGAATGCAAGCGTGCCAAATGCCTTTTTAACCACCCTGTCTATGTGACACAATTCATGACATAAGTGGACTGAATAATTTACACTTCCTAATGTTATCATGCTTTCAGGAAATATTAGATTTGGAATTCAAGTCTCTGACTTTAAGTATTGCAAACATTTTAAAACATACCTGTTCTCCAAAGATCCAACAACTAGTGCAATTAAGTAGCTTGGCATTGGAACCTAGAGAGAAAAATATTGTTCAGTGTTGGAGAGAATAACATTTTGTATCTACTGATTGCCTGTTGCAAGACCAACTGTAACAAATAGTGATGATTAGAAAACAAAATGTAAATGTTTATACAGAAAACATCACTTTATAATTTTGTTTTGCCTCAAATAAGCTGCAAATTTGTGGCACGGTTACTGTGAGGATGTTTTCCTGTGTTTTCTATTTCAAAGTTTTGTCAATAATTGGTTAAGGACAAATTAATCTAAATGTGCTGACAATCAAAACAGCATTTTATACTAAGCCGTTCACCGATATAAAGAGAAGCCAGCCTGGAGTAGGAATCATCTGTTCACAGTGCAGAATGCAATTATATTTCGAACAATCCCAGTGCTTTATCACAGTTTGAATAAGATCTTTTAGATTGCATTTCTTTAAATCTCCTTTCTATAATTTTATTCAGTCTTCCTGTCCTGGATTATTTTGAAGCATGGGCCTAGAAATTAGTCTGGATCCTAAATATGATGCCCCTTGTCCACACCTTAAAGAAGCAGCTAATCATTTCACCCTATGGCCTCACCAACATACTTCGCACAATATTTGGGGGAGACTGGAAGTGCTTTACCAAAGATTTTATAGCTGTCACTATATATCCTCAATATTGTTCTTTTTTTTAATTGCTTTGCAATATTTCCTGGATATTTAAGCTTTGTTGAAATACTTTACATTTATTTATTTGTATTTTCAATTCCATTAGATATTAAAATCTTTACAGTAATTTAGATGGGTTTTTAGTTTCTATTTTTCCCATCACCTTAAGATGTTTGCTTAGTTCAGTCAGTGTTACAAAGTTGTGTAGAATGATCATGAATTGGAAGGCAGGAAGATAGAATGTGTTTACAAAACATACTGAAACATAGAAGAGTGCGCGGTTCCTTTAAGAGGTAAAGTGCTTTTCTAAGCTTACAGATTTATACAGAAAAAAATGTCTGTATGTAGTTGAAGGTGTACAGCCAGTTCTGAAATTGAAACATGTATCAATTAGCTGTGTGATTTGAAACCTTAGGCTTGTTTTGATGTTTTACAACGAGCTAGGATCAGCCAATTAATTTAGACCAAGCACTTAGCAATTGAGAGCCAATTGAATTTAAATCTTGTGCAATTTAGTTCAGTTAGGGAATCGTTAGTAGTTAAGGGGGAATTGTTCGGTTTGTTAGTAATTCTGTTAATTTGTTCCCTGTTAGGGTTAAATAAATCAATTGTTACTTGTCACTTATAAAGTGACTATCAGGGATTCTCTTTCGTTTAATCACTCTTTTTAACAGATTATAAAGGAGAGGCGAGCTTCTCTGGGTGTTTCGGATTTAATTATTAGAAGGGAACCTCTAATCCCGCCATAACAGATTGGGGGCTTCTGTTTCAATTTAATTATCAGAGGGGTTCGACCTCCCTCCCTGTAACAGTCAGATAGGAAGATTACAAAAGTTATAGATTTTTACACTGACCATTTTCTTATAACCATAACATATCTTGGTGTCATACTGAAAGGAAGAAAAGATCAAGACAGCAAAGCAAAAGCTAGGAACTTTGACTTCAAGGTCCCCTACCTGCTACTGCAATACTCCATTCACCCAAAAAAAATTAAGAATGGGGATAAAATAAAAACTCAAATGCTTAATTAGAGTTTTTTGCTCTGTACTGCATCAAGGCTTCTACTACATTTGCCAATTGTATTAAATAGAAGAATAACAACACAAAAGCAGCAATGTTTCTGGTCCCAAACATTCCCTTCAAAAAACATTACTGTTGTATTCATCAGTGCCCAGCACCACAACAATACATACATACTGAAAACAGGGGCCATGTAAAGCTTTGCAGATGGAAACTTTGGGGTCCAAATTCCAACCAAACTGAACTTTTAGATTAAATATTTTAATCATTTATCCATCAGCTTGTTGTGAGGTCCAAGTGTTACAGACAATGCAGAGAGGTAAATTGAATTCCTTTATCTTTCTCCTCTTCTGTCTGTAAACAGAAGCATTTTACTTCATTTTAACTTAGACTGTAGCATGTTTCCCCCAAACCCAATTTAAAAATAACCCACAACAATATCTTTCAGGCTAAAACATGTTATTCATTAATGTCTATCAACACCTTCAAACCCAGTGGATGATGTACAAGCACAAAGCAAGTGTCAAGGAATGGGGTTAAAAATAACAATCAAAAAATAATGGATATTAATTTGTAATGTTTGCCTGAGATCCAAACATTAGTATTAGGAAAAGGTGTATTTTTTTAAGTTTATTGATGAAGTATAGATTTTAAAAATACTTTCTGACCTCATTCAAGACCTGACAGAAGTATCATCCATCCCTTGCTTACCATTTGCCGAAAACAGTAAATCTTTCTGCTGTCATCTTTGTTATCAACCAACTCCCCATCATGGTTCGCACTCATAAGAGCAACGAGTTCTTTTGGAACAGATACCTAAATGCAGGGGAAAAAAAACAATTGACCACTTATCCCAGTAAAAAATATGGTAAAAGAATAAAAACACAGAAACACAACAGATAATAATGTAGTTGTTTCGTTAGAATTTTGAAGTAAAAAAGTTAACAAATAAACCTCCAAATAAAATCATGGAATCTTACAACACAGGAGGCCATTCAACCTATCATGTATGTGGGGTTTTTTAAAGGAACTATTTGATTAGTCCCTTTCCCTGCCCACCACCCTGCAAGATTTTCTTTTCTTTTTCAGGGATATATCCAATTTTCCTTTGGAAGTTACTGTTGAATTTGTTTCCATCAGGCAGTACATTCTAGAGCAGAACCTGCTGCATAAAAATCTCATCTCCTCTGTGGTGATCTGTCAACTATCATTTCATCTGTATCCTCTGGTTACTGAGCTTCTGCTACTAGAAAGAGTTTCTCTTTCCTTCATCAAAATTCCTCAAGACTGAATATCATTAAATGTCCCCTAAACCTTCCCCACATGACTGAAGACTCTCACCCTTGTGTCATTTTAATGTTTTTGATAGGTTTATCTTAATTATATTGTTTGTATGTGTGATGCCTCTATTTATACACACAAGGACCTTTCTTTGGGATGGGCAACAAATTCTGGCCTTGCCAGTAACTTCTACATCCTATGAAAAAAAATGAATTATAATTAAAAACCTGATATGATCCAAAGATTTTATTAATTTGCTCTGCCGCCTTTAAAGATTTATCTATGTGAACGAACTGATCTCTGATTTTGTATTGCCTTAAAAATGTACTACTATTAAATTTATATGATCACTCCTTCCAAAATTAAACTCTTCAAGCTATGTTGCATTAAATTTCATCTGATATCTGTCCTAGCCTCTTCACTGTTCTGGGTATTTACAGGTTTGTTTTAATCATTTGTGTACTTTGCAATTACAGCCTTCTACACAAATCAAAATCATTAATACATGATAAAAATACTAGCCCCCTAGGGCATTCTAAATCATACTCAGAGGATACATGGCATTGAAACAGACCATTTGGCTAAACAAATCCATGATGGACTCCACTGCATTTTGAAAAGTGACTGTGCACCATTATACTCTCCTTGCACCCAATACTGTCATTGCCTCTTTAACTAATTTGGTGCCTGTGGGATTAATGTAGACAGATCTACCAAAACAGCAGCAGGAAGACTAGTTCACACCCTGTGTTATAGGTAGAGGGAATGACCAAGGAGGGAAATTACCAACAGATATGTCATCACGGATTATTCTAATATGTCTACTGGTGTTTGATTTCAATGCTCCAAAGTTACTGCCTAGGAACAGATTGCTTCCTCAAATTGGAGTCAGGGATGGTAAAGAACGGGCGTCAAAAGAGGGAAGGGAATAAATTAGATTATACCAGTATCAAGAGAAGCCCCTGTTGAGCAGCATTGGTCCATTTGAAAATATTGTGAATTGCAAAGTGAAATACAGAATAAAATAAAAAGTCAAATATTTAGTAAGGTCATTTGGGTGGTAAAGCAATTTATTTTAAAATTTAATATTACCTGCAGTCAGGTAAAATGATCACATTGGATACTATCTAGTATCCTCACTATGTTTCTTTACTGACATATTCCCCTTTTTCATCCCATAAGTGAAGTTCAGTTCTACTTTATGTTTCAAAAAGCATGTGAAAGGCTAAAGGAAGTAAAATCTGTGCCAAAGGAGCATTGTCAAGCTTCAGCAAGTGTCAGCTTTTATCTTTCGGATCATGGCTGACTGAAAATATTTTGGGAGGGTGCATGGACAGGTAGATGACGCAAGTCAAAAAGAACAAAAACATCGAAAGTCGATCACACCCAAGAAACTGTCTGTCAGTCAAACAAGAAGCAGGCTTGGAGACTTTTACAGCTCAGATTACGTGACCTTGACAACCAACAGGAGATACAAATTAAGGCACAAAGTTCAGCACTGTTACAAACTGGCTGACTGAAAGTTTAAAAATGCAAAATGTAGGTGAATTCTTTCTACACAAATTGACAACTGCTTAAATCTGTAGGTACTGAGCAAAAAGTTGTGGTGCCCTGGTCTAGCAACAATGCAGGCAAACAAATCATCAACCTTTGTCATATTTGAGAAATTAATTTCCATTATCAGGTCTACGTGGTTACATACCCGAGCATAGTACGTGCTTTTCACAGATGGTGTGTCCTGGCAAGGGACCATGCTTCTGCAATGTATAGCCTATAAATATATTTTAAATAAACACAATAAAAATCACACAGTCCAGCCATTAAAATTCAACTTTAATAGATATAAATAATCTACCACCTAATCAGTTATACGATCAAACAGGGAAAATAAAATCAGCCTCACTCTGCAATTTTTAGATTAAGAATATTCAGTTAACTCTAGTTCCAAAGCCATGATTCCGAACAGTAACTTACTAGAAGGCCTCTTTCTTGGAGCCAACATAACTAATATTAATGCTAGTGTCATTAAGGCACATGTTTGTAATGACCCTGAACCCCAAAATGGGTCATTTTAGAAAATTAACATAATAAATAAGGGGAGTAGGCCATTCAGCCCCTTGAACCAGTGCCACCATTCAAGATCATGGCTAAAACAAATAATAACAGAAATTGCTGGCAAAATTCAACAGGTCTAGCAGCATCTGGAGAGAAACAGAATTAATGTAGAATGCAGTGACCCCTCTTTAGAACCGGAACAAGATCATGGATGATCCGATTTGGTCTGAACTTTACTTCCTGCTTGTGCCCAATAACACTCAACCATCAACCAATATCTTGTCTAGCTCAGCCACACTTACATTCAATTACCCAGCTTCCATTGCTCTGCTCTCCACAGAACAGGAATGTTCTAAATGTACACTGATGGTATTCGATTCTACCTCATTTCCACCTGTCTCATCCCCTCCACTGTCTCTAAATTAAACTGCTTTTCTAACATCTATTAGAAAATGAGCAAAAATTTCCAACTACATAGAAGACAGAAGGCATTATATCTCTGCCTCAGTTGCAAACCCTTCCTCAGCCGTCAATTCCTCTCGGGGGCTGAAACAGATGGTTTGCAACACTGGTGTCATGTTTGCCCCAGCTTTCTTTACATATTCCCTGTAAGATTGTCTATTTCTAGCCAAGTAACATTGTCCAACATTGCCCTAAGTGTTTTCTTCATCCCTGCTTGACCTCTAGAGTTGATTATTTCATCTGGCTGTCCTAACTGTAGCCTCAGCAACAGCCTCATCCAAAACTCTAACCTCTACTTAACACTTGCCAAGTTCTGCTCACCTTCTCCCTCAGGTTCACTGGCAATTAAGTAATTCCTTCATGTTTAAATTCTCATCCTTGCCATTAAAAGCATCAAACTATGGTTACACTCTCCCGTTTCTTACTCCAGCACCTTCGCTTTTTTCTTATTCATTTGTGGGATGTGGGCATCACTGGCTGGCCAGCATTTCTTGCCTATCCCTAGTTGCCCTTGAGAAGATGGTGGTCGGTTGCCTTTTTGAACCGCTGCAGTCCTCCTGCTGTGGGTTGATCCACAATGCTATTAGGGAGGGAATTCCAGGATTTTGACCCAGTGACAGTGAAGGAACGGCGATATATTTCCAAGTCAGGATGGTGAGTGACTTGGAAGGGAACTTGTAGGTGGTGGTGTTGCCACACGTTTGCTGCCCTTGTCCTTCTAGATGGAAGTGGTTGTGGGTTTGGAAGGTGCTGTCTGAGGATCTTTGGTGAATTTCTGCAGTGCATCTTGTGGAAAGTACACACTGCTGCTATTGAGTATTGGTGGTGGGGGGAGTGAATTCTTGTGGATGTAGTGTCAATCAAGCAGGCTGCTTTGTCCTGGATGGCGTCAAGCTTCTTGAGTGTTGTTGGGGCTGCACTCATCCAGGCAAGTAGAGAGTATTCCGTCACACTCCTGACTTGTGCCTTGTAGATGGTGGGACTGGCTTTGAGGAGTCAGGAGGTGAGTTACTCACCGCAGTATTCCCAGCTTCTGGCCTGCTTTTGTAGCCACTATGTTAATGTGGTGAGTCCAGTTGACTTTCTGGTCAATGGTAACCCGCAGAATGTTGATAGTGGGGGATTCAGTGATGGTAGCACCACTGAATGTCAAGGGGCGGTGGTTAGACTGTCTCTTATTGGTGATGGTCATAGCCTGACATTTGTGTGGTGCAAATGTCACTTGCCACTTGTCAGCCCAAGCCTGGATATGGTCCAGATCTTGTTGCATATGGACGTGGACTGCTTCAGTATCTGAGGAGTCACGAGTGGTGCTGAACATTGTACAATCATCGGCGAACATCCCCACTTCTGACCTTCTAATGGAGGGAAGGTCATTGATGAAGCAGCTGAAGTTGGTTGGGCCGAGAACACTACCCTGAGGAACTCCTGCACAGATGTCCTGGAGCGGAGATGATTGACCTCCCACAACCACGACCACCTTCCTATGTGTCAGGTATGATTCCAACCACTGGAGTGTTTGCCCCCGATACCCATTGATTCCAGTTTTGCCAGGGCTCCTTGATGCCACACTCTGTCGAATGCAGCCTTGATATCAAGGGCTGTCACTCTCATCTCACCTCTGGAATTCAGCTCTTTTGCCCATGTTTGAACCAAGGCTGTAATGAGATCAGGAGCTGAGTGGTCCTGGCGTAACCCAAACTGGGCGTCACCGAGCAGATTATTACTGAGTAGGTGCTGCTTGATAGTACTGTTGATGACACCTTCCATCACTTTACTGATGATCAAGAGGAGACTGATGGGGCGGTAATTTGCTGGGTTGGATTTGTCCTGCTTTTTGTGTACAGGACATATTTGGGAAATTTTCCACATTGTCGGGTAGATACCAGTGTTGTAACTGGAACAGCTTGGCTAGGGGAGCGGCAAGTTCTGGAGCACAAGTCCTCAGTACTATTGCCGGAATGTTGTCAGGGCCCATTGCCTTTGCAGTATCCAGTGTCTCCAACTGTTTCTTTATATCACATGGAATGAATCAAATTGGCTGAAGACTGGTATCTGTAATGCTGGGAAACACTGGAGGAGGCCGAGATGGATTATCCACTCGGCACTTCTGGCTGAAGATCGCTGCAAGTACCTCAGCCTTATCTTTTGCACTGATGTGCTGGGCTTTTCCATCATTGACGATGGGGATATTTCTGGAGTCTTCTCCTCCAGTGAGTTGTTTAATTGTCCACTACCATTCATGACTGGATGTGGCATGACTGCAGAGGTTAGCTCTGATCCATTGGTTGTGGGTTTGCTTAGCTCTATCTATCACTTGCTGCTTTCGCTGTTTGGTGTGCAAGTAGTCCTGTTTGGTGGCTTCACCAGGTTGATACCTCATCTTCAGTTATGACTGGTGCTCCTCCCGGCATGCCCTCCTGCACTCTCCATTGAACCAGGATTGATCCCCTGGCTTTATGGTAATGGTTGAGTGTGGTTTATGCCGGGCCACGAGGTTGCAGATTGTGCTGGAGTACAATTCTGCTGCTGTTGATGGCCCACAGCACCTCATGGATGCCCAATCTTGAGTTGCTGGATCTGTGCGAAGTCTGTACCATTTAGCATGGTGATAGTGCCACACAACACGATGGAGGTTGTTCTCAATGTGAAGGAGGGACTTCACTACCCCAAGATTGCCTAGTTTTGCCAATTCTGGCCCTCGAACTCCCCTGTTTTTATCATTCCACTACTGGCAGCCATGACTTCAGAAGTCAATACCCTGTGATCTGCAATTCCTACCCATCACACTCCTCTTCAAAAGACCTCTTTTCTTTCCTTCAAGTTGTTCATTAAATTCTACTTCTTTGACCAAACACCGAGACATCTGCCTAAAATATTCTGTGACTTGGTGTTAAATTGGACATGAAAGATGCCTTGGGATCTACCCTTCATTACTTTAAAAGCATTAATTCAGTGATATTGTTGAAATGCATACAATCAGATAATTTAAAACAATGTAATTTAGAAAGACAGTTCCAAGGCAGAGCATGCATGCATGCCGGAATTAGATATTTCACAATAGCATTGCGGTAACGGTGCTAATACAGAATTACCAACTAGTACAGATTATTTGTGCACGTCCAACAATAAATTCTGATCAACAAAGGCTCCCAGCCAATCCATAAAACTAATTTTTTAAGTCAGGAAAGAAAGTTCATTAGTGAAACATTTTAAATCAGATTTGAGCATTTGACATTTATGCATACAAAAAAAAGGTGCCCTCGGTTTAATTAACTTGAAATAAAGAGGCACCATTTTAAGACTGAGATGAGGATAAATTTCTTCTGTCAGTGAATGGAGTTGTTTTGAACACCTTGCCAGAGAGACCCGTGAGGGCAGTGTCTTAAAGGCCGAGATAGATAGATTTTCGATCAGTAGGGGAATCAAGGGTTACAGGGATAATGCAGGAAAACGGGCATGAAGTATGTCCGATCAGCTATGTTCCTTTTGAATGGCAAAGCAGGCTCGAGGGGCCAAACGACCTACTCCTATTCCTAATGATCTTATTAAAGCATTTTCAATTATTCCCAATAAAATGCCGAAGTCAAACTCAGCAGCAATGATGCACTAGAGATTTTTACTAATTTCCAGATTGATTGCTGTTCCAAGGTCTGAGTAAAATTCTCTTCAAAACCAATTATGAGTAGTATAGGGCAAACCAACAGAGTTTGGAAAATTGTTCAAGCATATTCTAACTGTTAACACAAATGTCAACTGCAGTCAAACACACAGAAAAGTCCATTGCAAGATTGTAACTTAAAAAAAAGTCAGGTATTCTAACTGTTGTACCTGACATTGGCTAAACAAGTATGGGTGCTTCTTCCCAGCTGTTTGCTCAGCAGTGAGCCACTGCAAAGCTGAAGCTTCTGGTGATGTCTCATAAGTAACCTCCACCACTGTTTGCTGGCCCCTGTAAAGTTAGAAATTGTACAAATCAATACCGCACACCAACAGTCCTACATCAATCCTCCAATAGTGTAATACAAGGCATATAGACCTGAACATCCCTTGAGTAGGGGATTGCGTTCTTGCAGGAAGGTGGGCGAGAGGAGGTGTAGTCTAGGTAGCTGTGGGAGTCGGTGGGCTTGAAATAGACATCAGTTTCGAGGTGGTCACCAGAGATGGAGACAAAGAGGTTTAGGAAGGAGAAAGAGGTATCAGAGATGGTCCAGGTGAATTTGAGGTTGGGGTGAAAAGTGTTGGTAAAGTTGATGAACTGTTTGAGCTCCTCGTGGGAGCACGAGGTGGCGCCGATACATTCATCGATTTAGCGGAGGAAGAGGTGGGGGATTGTGCCAGTTACACTGCGATCCCCTACTGCCAATTCCTCCGCCTCCACCACATCTGCTCCCAAGATGAGGCATTCCTCTCCCAAACATCCCAGATGTCCTCGTCTTTCCAGGACCGCAACTTCATCCCTTCAGTGGTCGAAAACGCTCTCAACCGCAACTCTTGCGTTTCCTACACCTCAGCCCTCACACTCTCTCCCCGCAACAAAAACAAAGACAGAATCCCCCTGGTCCTCACGTATCACCCCACTATCCTCCGGATTCAACGCATCATTCTCCGCCACTTCCGCCACCTGCAATCTGACCCCACAACCAAGGATATATTTCCCTCCCCACCCCTATCTGCTTTCTGGAGGGACCACTGTCTCCATATCTCCCTCGTCCACTCCACACTCCCCACTAGCCCCACCACACCCGGCACCTTTCCCTGCAACCGCAGAAAGTGCTGAACCTGCCCCGATACCTCCCCCCTCACCTCCATCCCCGGCCCCAAAAAAAATTCCACATCAGACAGATGTTCACCTGCACATCCGCTAACATGGTCTATTGCATGGTGGCCTCGTCTACATCGGTGAGACCAAGCGGAGGCTCGGAGACCATTTTGTAGAGCACCTGCACTCGGTTTGTGACAAACGACAACATCTTCCAGTCGCGAACCACTTCAACTCCCCCTCCCACTCCCTGGACGACATGACCATCCTCCAGTGTCACAATGACGCCACCCGGAAACTGGAGGAGCAGCACCTCACATTCCGCCTTGGGAGCCTACAACCCAAATGATCTCAATATGGACTTTATTAGCTTCAAAATCTCCCCACCCCCGGCCTCATCCCATAACCAACCCTCCCTCTCATCCCCGCCTCCTTGACCTGTCCATCTTCTCTCCCACCTACCTGCTCCTCCCACCTCACTGACCAACCCCCACCATTGCCTACCTGCACTCACCTATCATCACCCCACCTTTCTCTATTTATTTCAGAGCTCCCACTCCTCCCCCATTTCTGAAGAAGGGTCCCGACCCGAAACGTCAGCTTTCCTGTTCCTATGATGCTGCCTGGCCTGCTGTGCTCCTCTAGCTCCACACTGTGACATCACTGGCACTATCTAGAGAAGTGAGAGCGCTCTTCATGAAAAATACCTGCTCCTTTGTCAAAATTAAAATAGATTATCCAACAAATTATCACATTTTGCTGTGCATAAAATTAAGTGCCTTCAATCACTGGAGTGAATGCTTCAAAACTAATACAGGTGCTAATTGGAGGTGCCCCAGTAACATGGAAGGCATGTTTGATTGCACATTAATTTCTCCATCTTTACTTCATGAAACTACTTTTTAATCATTTTAAATTTCTTAATTCCTCATCCTTCTGAACTCAAAAGGAGGGGAGAATAGGAAATATTGGCATTCATGTCACACAGTGGTTTTACAGCATTAACCCTAGGTCTCTGGATTAACTAGTCCACTGACCAGTCCATAATAGTCCACAGAAGAATAGAGCAGATGAATGTGCGACTCAAGATTTAGTGCAGGAGGAAGATTTTTAGATTCCTGGATCACTGGTACGTTTCTGGAGAAGGTGGGACCTCTACAACGGGGATGGTCTGTACTTGAACAGAATGGGAGTAACACCCTTGCAGCATGCTAGTGCTATTGGGAGGAGATAATTCAGCAGGAACAGATGTCACGATGCATTAGTTCAACAGTGCCACAGCATAACTTATAAAAGGAACCGAAGAAGAGTGAATTCAGCCATGTGATGCCTCAAGGGAATAAGGCAAGGTTGAATGTCCACTACTTTAATGCCAGGAGTACTAAAGGTAAGACAGATGACTTAGGAGCACTGATGGACACATGGAATTACAATATTGTTGCCAGGAATGTGGTTATGCGAAGACAAGATTGGCAACTTAGGACCTTCAGGCAGGACAGGGGAGTGTGTGGAAGTGGAGACGTGTTGCATTATTAAAGAGTCAGTTACTGTAGTAAGAAAGGATAATATCTTGGAAGGGTTGTCAAATGAGACCTTGAGATTTGAATTTAGAAATAAAAAGGGGGCAGTCCACTGTTAGGAGTGTATCATAGGCTCCCACTCAATAGTCAGTTGAAGAGCAGATATGTAGTCAATTCACTAAGGCAATTAAAAATAATAAATCGGGTAATTATGTTAGGGGATTTCAACTACTCCAATATTAATTGGGATAATCACAGTATAAAAGGTTTAGTGGGGCAGATGTTTTTAAATGCATACAGGACAGACTTTTCCATCAATATGTAAATGATCCTACAAGGAACAGTGCAACCCTGGTCTGAATTCTGGGGCAAGAAGCTCAAGGTGATTGCGGAGGAGCATTTCAGTGACAGCGAGCACAATGCTGTAAATTTTAAGCTTCTTACATGAAAGGAGAAAGATGGTCTGCAAAAAAAGGATTGGGGTAAGGCACATTTTATTAAAATAAGGCATAATCTGGCCAAAATAGACTAGTACAACTGTTGGAGGGTGAATCTACAGCAGAGTAGTGGGAGGCATTCAAGAGAGTGCTGGGATGAGTACAGGGCCAACAGGTTCCCTTAGGGTAAAATGTAGGCCCAGAGAACCTTGGGTATCTCGGAATATTCAGTACTCAATAAATGGCAAGACACTAGGAAGCTGAGGAATCTTGGGGTTCTTGTCACAGATCCCTGAAGGCGATAGGACAGGTTAATAGGGTAGGTAAGATGATATATGGGACATATGCCTTTGTCAGTTGTGGCAAAGATTATGGGGGCAGAGGGAGTCCAGGTTGGAACTGTACAGAACTTTGGTTAGGCTACAGCTGGAGTGTGTGCAGTTCCGGTAACCACACTTATAGGGTGGAAGCAACTGCACTGGAGGTGGCGCAAAGTAGATTCACCAGGATGTTGCCTGGAATGGAACACTTTAGCTATGAAGGGAGGTTGGAATAAGCTTGGGTTGTTTTCTTTGGAACAGCAAAGGCTACGGGGGAACTGTTAGAGATGCATAAGATTGAGGTTCATGGGCAGGGTGAATAGAAAGCAACTGTGCTCCTTAGTTGAAGGGTCTGTAACAACAGTGCATAATTTTAAAGTGAAACACAGGAGGTTTAGAAGGGATTGGAGGAAAAGCCTTTTGGTGGTAAGGGGTCTGGAATGCACCGCCAAGGAGGGTAGTTGAAGTGGTAAACACACAACCTTTAAAAAACACTTGGACGAGTACTTGAAGTGTCATACATTCAAGGCTATGAACCTAGTGCGAAAAAGTGGGACTTGTATAGGTAGGGTTATATTTTTGATGGTACAGATTTGATGGGCTAAAGGGCCTCTTCTGTAAATACTTACCCCAGTAAAAATAAGCACTATACAAAGTGTAAAAAAAGAGTTAACGTTTCAGTTTTTTAGTATCTGTTTATTTCAGATTTCTACTGTCAACAGCATTTTGGTTGAGTTATGATCAAATATGTACCAGATCAAAAACACAGATTCAAGTTTCAAAAAGAATCACAATAAGAATGGGTGGGTTGGATGGGGGAAGGTGCTTGTTACATGGTCAGCCAAGTGAACTTTATAGAATATGAGTTCTCTGACTGGGGCTGTTAATCTGGTCCAATTAGGAAGCCTTGGCGGACAGATATAAACTGGCTGGGAACAGTCTCATCATTTTGCATCAATAAGTGTGGGGCAAGCTCATCATTTTCACTAAATTCACAAACTGGGGGGGGGGGGGAGGGAAGGGTTAAAACCAGATGTTTCTATAACAAAGAAAACAAATGTGAAAGAAGACAGAAAACAAATAGCTTTAAAAATATCTCTGGTCCTGTGTAAACATGCCAGTTGATGTACAAATTACAAATCTGGGTGTGAATGGAATTATAAATGGAATGGCTAACCAATAAATTTAAAAATAAACTTGAGTGAAAGAGTCATTATAAAAGTCTTCATTCCAGTTTGTTATCAGATAATCTGACCCATAAGGGTGCAGCATCACTGGCAGGAGGGTGTAGTTAAGGTGCAACTTTTCTATCAGCAGGTTTCATTATGAACATAGACATGGAAATCTATAAACACAAGGACAAATTCTACATCTTCAAAATAAGTAAATCCAATAATTTTGGCCCAATTATTTCACTCTTTTGACCTTGCCACATCTGAAAATTTGACTTCCACCAGCAACTCTATGCGAAATTAGCTAGTGTTAAATAACAAGATTTGACACCAATTACTGAAGGATTAAATGAAGCAAGAAGATTTACTAGGTTTTAGCTTCATACCGCAGCAATTTATATGGAAGAATAATCGTCAAGGGTGTTCCTTTGTAAGAGTGCTTATTTCCAAGTGAAAACTTGACTTCTTGTCCATTGACTGTAGCCTTGAGTATTTTAAGGTCTCTTGTATCCAAGATCTGTAAATAAAGTATAATAATCACAGTTATGTACCAGCTAAATCAGCTTAATAGTGATGCAGATATATTAAGCCATAAAAGCTGAAAGCATGGTTGTAACTACATAACTGGGGAGGTGATATCCTAGCGATATGATAACTAGACTATTAATCCAGAGACTCAGGTAATGTTGTGGGAACCCAGATTCAAATCCCACCATGGCAGGTGGTGGAAATTGAATTCAATAAAAAAAAAATCTAGTATTAAGTGTCTAATGATGACAGTGAAACTGCTGCTGATTGTTGGAAAACCCATCTAGTTCACTTATGTCCTTTTAGGGAAAGAAATCTGCCATTCTTTCTTGTTTTTTTTTGTTCATCCCGGGATGATGGCATTGCTGGCTGGACCAGCATTTATTGCCAATCCCTAATTGCCCAGAAAGCTGTTGAGAGTCAACCACATTGCTGTGGGTCTGGAGTCACATATAGGCCAGACCAGGTAAGGTTGGCAGGTTTCCCTCCTTAAGTCATTAGTGAACCTGTTGGGTTTTTTCAATAATTGACAATGGATCCATAGTCATCATTAGACTTTTAATTTCAGATTTTTTTTATTGAATTCAAATTCCACCATCTGCTGCTGTGGGTACTCAGAACATTACCTGGATCTCTGGATTAATTGTCTAGCAATAATACCACCGGGCCATCGCCTCCCCCAAGTCTGGTCTGGTCTACATGCGACTCCAGACCCATATCAATGCGGTTGACTCTCACCTGCCGTCTGGACAATTAGGGGTGGGTAATAAACACTGGCTTGGCCAGTGACCTCCGCAACTTGTCAATGAATTAAAAAAAAACAAAAATCTTCAATTTGTAAGTATAGTGCTCAAATACAAGATTTCCTTTGTTTGCAAGGTTAACAAAAACTACAAATCCTTTTTTTTAGATATGATATTGTAACTAATTCTTTCACATGAGTACAAATCTATATATATCTTATACAGAAAAGAAACTACAGGTAAAATTTCTGTCTTTAGAATGGAAGTGAAAATTGGAAAAGAAAGCAATGGTAGAAATACATGCTCATTTTTAGAAATAAATTAAGCAAAGTTAGCAGTGGCAGCGTTTCAACAGCAACCGTTTATCAGGACGAGGAAAGGGATAATAAATTGCAGATGATTTTTTTTAAACAACATTATTTACCCTCAATTCCATATCAGCAACATTCGGATGTAATTATCATGACATATCAAAGTCCACATACCAAGGTTCTGTACAGGAATTGATTTGCCAAAGTAGCTCAATGACTTTCACGGCTTAATTTTGCTACAAACATTCACAAAGTTTTCCATTCAGCTGGAGTAACGCCATTTGTTCCAAGATTTAAATTCAGGGTAACCAACCACAAGAGTCAGAAAAATATCTGTTTTAATGCATTAAAAAAATTGGTCTCAAACGAACAATGTCTAAAGCTTGATCCTGGGTGTTAAGACTGTTTAATTTTATAAGAGTTCAGCTACCAATCCTATTATAAATTTACTATTGAGCTGCAAGTTTGTCATTTATATAAATGATTTGGATGTGAATATAGGAAGTATGGTTAGTAGGTTTACAGATGAAATCAAAATTGGTGGTATAGTGGACAGTGAAGAAGATTATCTCAAAGTACAATGCGATCTTGATCAGATGGGTCAATGGGCTGATAATTTGCAGATAGAGTTTAATCTAGTTAAATGTGAGGTGCCACATTTTGCGAGGGCAAATCAGTGCAGGACTTATGCACTGAATGGTAAGGTCCTAGGGAGTGCTGCCGAACAAAGATTCATAGTTCCTTGAAAGTGGAGTCCCAGGTAGACAGGGTGGTGAAGGCGGCATTTGGTATGCTTGCCTTTATTGGTCAGTGCATTGCGCATACGAGTTGGGAGGTGATGTTGCAGTTGTACCAGACTATGGTTAGGCCACTTTTGGAACACTGCATTAAATTCTGATTTCCCTGCTATAGGAAAAATGTTATGAAACTTGAAAGGGTTCAGAAATGATTTACAAGGATGTTGCCAGGGTTGGAGGTTTGAGCTACAGGGAGAGGCTGAATAGTCTGGGGCTATTTTCCCTGGAGCATCAGAGCTTATAAAATCTAGAGGGGCATGGATAGGGTGAATAGTCAAGGTCTTTTCCCCAGGGTAGGGGGTCCAAAATTAGAGGGCATAAGTTTAAGGCAAGAGGTGAAAGATTTAAAAGGGACCTAGCTTTTTCACACAGAGGATGGTGTGCATGGAATGAGCTGCCAAACGAAGTAGTGGAGACTGGTCCAATTACAACATTTAAAAGGCATCTGTATGGATATATAAATAGGAAGGGTTAGAGGGATACGGGCTAAACGCTGGCAAATGGGACTGGATTAATTTAGGGTATCTGGTCAGCATGGATGTCAAACCAAAGGGTCTGTTTCCATGCTGTCCATCTCTATGACTCTAAGTTAAATTTAGCAATTATGTTATCGCATAAAACTACAGAAGTGGTAATAATCAAGTGCTGCCATATTACCTGGACACAGACACTTATCTGTCACATCTTTTATTAAACTATTTCACTTTGGTCTCCTCTTTTAAGATATCCATCGCCAAACTAATCTTTGATTACCTTTTCTAATATCTACGTCTTTCAGCAAATTTGTTTGACAACATTACTGAGAAAAACATCCCAAGGTGCTTCCATGTTAAAAGGTGCTACATCAATGCAAATAGTAGATTGCACTGTAAGTAGTGATTGCATTTCGCTCCTACCACACTATGCTGCATACTCGAAGGCGTTCAGGGATCTCAACTGTTGATATCTCCCATTACTTTTGCTGATCTTCAAGAACTGGCTGATGGGGCAGTTACTGCCCTGGTTGAATTTCTCGTGCTTTTATTGAACAGGACACACCCAGACATTTTTTCATGTAGCTTGCATAGTGAATAAAGTAATTTCCGAAACCCCTTTCTTCAGCACCATAACCGGCATGTTAGCATGGCGCAGTATCTCTGTTGCATCTAGTGCATTCAGTCATTTCTTCATAAGTGGAGTGAATCAAACCGACTTGGTTCTGTGATGTTGAGGTTCTCAGGAGGCTAAAATGGACCATCCATTTGAGACTTACTACTTACACTCTTTAGGTTCTGCCATCAGAGGCTAGGGATTTAAAGGAAATAGCCTGGAATGAACTCATACTGCTAGTCAGCATGTCAGTAATCCTGTGTTGTTGTTACATCAGATTAGCCCCCAGTTTTAGAGCGTTGCTCCTGCCATACTCTTGTACACCCTTCGTTGAATCAGGGTTAGCCATCTAGCTTGACGGCACCATTGGATTTGATTTGAATCTACTCCATTTAGCATAGTAATAATATCACACAACCACACTCTCATCCTCAGTGTAAAAGCAGGAATTCATCTCCACCAGAACTGTTCAGTGGTCACTTCATCCATTACTGTCATGGACAGATGCCTCTGCAACAGGTAGATCAGTAAAAACTAGCTAAAATAAGTTTATTTCTCATAACCCACATTGGTACCCTTGCCAACAGCCTTGTCTGACAGAAGTACCACTACCAAGCCACTCTTGGTCTTAGACAATGTTCTATGCCCACTCCACCTTCAGTGCTTCCAAGTGGCATACTGATTCATAGATATTTTTAATCAACTTGTGCAGACATGTTATGACACATTTGGAGGAATAGATCTTGAGGCTGGACAGTTTGGCCCAGAGGTAGGCTTGCTACCACTGTGGCAATAAGAGCCTTCTTTGAAATCATATTTCACTATATGCCATGGTGGGACATGAACCCATTTACACAGATTATTCTGAGATTTTGGATTGCTATATCAGTGACATTACAACCATGCCATCACATCCTGTTCTATTCTGATCATAAGCTGAGGAAGGGTAGGAGCAATCGATTAGCATGAGGTAACCTTACTCATGTTTGACCTGATGCTCTGAGTTTAATGGTAATCCAGAGTCAATGTTGACGACTCCCACTGCTGCTTAGTTTCAAGGGGTACTGGCATCTCTGAGCTGGGTCTGTTGTGATAGTGGTACTGGACATATCAGAATGTAGCGATGGAGGATTAGGAAACATCAGCTGAAGGATTGGAATTTGACCATGTCAGGCTGTTGCTTGTCTTATATGTGTGGCAGCCCACCCAAATTTTGCTTTGACAAACATTCAACTGGCTTTCAATTCCATTTTGACTCAGTGCAAAAAGGTAAATTTGTCAAGCATCACAGTACCAAATCAAGTACAATTCACTATCCATGCCAATGGAGAGGCAAGCCCGTCACAAGTGCCCCCAGGTCTCTTCCCCTCCCCTCCCCTCCCCTCTCCCCCCCCCGTCACAAATGCCCCCAGG